GCTCAGCCGAGAGGGGCCCAACAGAAACAAGCATTCACGTTTTGCTGGCGCTTGAGCCACAACCGAGTTTTCCAGACCTTGTCCGCCGGCCTTGGCCCTGCAGCCCTCCGCTCCTTCCCGCGGTGCAGCTTTCTGCATCTTTGACTCGAGGTCCGTCCTGAAGTTGTCCAGCCTCATGAGCAACTTTGATTTGCTCCCTGATGTAGGCAGACATAGGCAGACCATGCCGTTCACACCCTTCTCGCAATTCAAGAGTTGTCGAGGCTGTACCGCATCCATTTCCACCTCCTTTCAATGACCAGCATCGCGCTCAGCGCGCCCGGCCTGTACCGGGCTCGATTCCAGGCTGCGACGAGGCGAAGGACCTGCTGCGAGGAGGGCCCCAACCCCTGGCTGCGAGGAGGGCCTCAGCGAACCCTGGCTGCGAGGATGGTTGTCCCCCGGGACCTCCTCGGTGTTTGCCTGTCGCCAGCATCCGCCCGTCGACCCGCGCTCGCTGTCCGTCGCGTGCTGCAGTTGCCCGTGGCTCGCTGCGGGCAATCTCCCGCCTCGCTGTGCAGGCCATCTGCGGCCCTCAGCACGCGCTCGACCCCTCCGAGGAGGAAGCTACGCATGTGGCATCTCGATCGACTCCAGTAATTTCCAGCAGGGGAAACTGGGCATCTCCCCGGGCCTCGTTCCTCAAGCGAGCGCGGTTGGACTCTTGTTGCTGCTGGCGCCACGCACGTTGCTACACCGGCAGCCCGGGGAAGGCAAAGCGGCTCGCCGCGCTTGGCTCCGGCAGCCACCGCGCGCCGGCGCGACATGCTGCCGATCCCGACACCGCCGCCGCGCGGCAATCTCGGGCGGAATGTCAGGCGCGGCTGGGGCGCTCACTGGCGCCAGGCACGCCGGAAAAGCTGCGTGACCCCGCACGCCAACCGCCCTCACTCGCAAGGCCCCTATAGCCGGTGCCACCGCTGAATACTGCCGCGCCTTGCTGGATGACGAGAAAAAACGTTCCCTCATCGCAGGGCCTAGCGAGCGTCAATGTCCTTGTCTGTCATCCTTGCGGAGCTGCTGCATGGTCGCTTTGCAGCAGCCAAATGGGCGGATGCGCGGGCTGGTCGTGGGCAATGTGATGCGCCGGCCCAAACCCTCACCCGGCAAATTGCGCAGCAGTTCCTTGGACCACGTGTCCGGGCTCAGCTCTTGTCGCACGAGCCTCGCTCCGCTACCGCGGTCACGCAGGCCGTGCTTTGCCAGGCGAGGCCCAGTTCGCGTGATGACGTCTTCTGCATCCAGGTCGTATTTGGGGAAAACTCGCGCTCGGAACGCCGCCGTCGGTGTGCAGTCGCCAGGCGTCGAGGCTGTCAAGACCGCGGAAGATCCCAGCTGGGTGGGCGACTGGTCCATGCCACCCAACAAGCAAGGATCGGTGGTTTGCGGGCCCCCTCTTGGCAGCCGCGCGTGCGCAAAGGCGTTAGCCGAGAAGCACGCAGCCAAGAAGTACTGCTGCAGATTATCCCTGCCGTGCCGCACTTAAAGTCGGCGTGGCTGATACTGCAGCTGTGTGGTGCGCCCCGTGCCAACTACCTGCTGCGCATCTTGCGAGCACGATATGGCGGTGCTGCGCTGCCTGGGCAGTTCTTGGGCACAGAAGAGCCCCTCGAACTTAGCAACTTGCAGAGTAGACGAGCCCAGATGGGCTTGCGGTCTTCCGAGCGCGGGCGCTCTGCTGCCCACTGAGCAGCTTCTTGCCAAGCCGCTCCCAGATGCGCATGCGCCTCCCACAGCTGGGATGCCTCCCGGCTCAGGTTGCCCGCAGCCGCGTGTAACAGCGGCGGCACAAACAACCAACTGTTGGCTCCTGCCGGAACTTCCTGGGGCGTTCGTGGGGGCTCTCGTGAGAGCCCAGGGTACGCCGGTAGGTTGTGCACCATCGTGTTGCTGAGGCGGCACTGACGGTGATGGTTGGTGTTGGCGCCGAATATCTAAAATGCCGTATTTTGCAGCATTTTCGCGCGAAATTGGACGCTCGAAAAAGTGATGATTCAAATAGGGGTGCAATTCTATCTTTGCAAGAAATCTAAAAAGTAGCGGGGGGGGTTGGGGGGGGGGGGCGGCAGCCCCCCTCCGTGATGTTTGAAGAAGTGTTGATTCAAGCAGGGGTGCAATTACCCCACAAAGAATCTAAACAGTAGCGGGTGGGTTGGGGGGTGGGACTTTCCCGCCCATGATGTGATTCAAATACGGAGGAACTGGTGATGCTGATGAGGCGGGAAGCCAAATAACAACAAATAAAAGGGTGCAAAAGCCAAAAAGCCCAGAGAGGAACTGTGAAAGCAGAGGATGCGAAAAGCCAAAGCCACCAAAAGCCGCATAAGCCAACAAAAAGCCGAAAAGCCCAGAAGCTGAGAAGCCAAAAAGCCAAGAAGCCAAGAAGCCGAAAAGCCAAAAACGAAAAAACAAATCCTAAAATAAATACCCTCCTTTTCAAAATGGATCGTAGCACCCAGAAAATGAATCAAGGGCACTGAAAAGAAGCTGGTACATGAAATTAACATGAAATGACTGACATGAAATGGAGCTAGTTTGCATCACATGAACTCAAGTGGAATGACATAGAATTAGCGGGCATGGAACGGCATGACCTTGCATCAAATTGAAGGCAATGGAACGGAATGGAATGACATGGAACGGAATAGCATGATGTTGATCGAAAAAAATTGGAATGGAAAGGAATGGAATGTAATGACATGACATGGCATGGCCTGCATGACATGGAGCCACATGGAAACACATCTCACGGAATGAAATGTGATGCTCTTGAGTGGCATGACATGATTGAGGTGGGAAGGCTAGGCATTAAAAAGACAAAGACTTGTAATTGATTGGAATGGAACTGAACAACATGAACTGCATCACATAACACTATAACCTAATATGACTGAATGAAATAGTGTATATATTTGTAATAGCTTACATGTAATGGATAGACACTGAATGGAATGGCATGACATGTGCTACACCTGAATTGCATATATATATATATGTAATAACTTACATGTAATGGATAGACACTGAATGGAGTAACATGACATGTGCTACTCCAGAATTGCATGAAACACCTGAGGCGGGATGGATGGTGCTTGATAGGAACAAAGGCAGCTACACGTGGACTGTAATAAGAAGGAATATGAAGGAATCAAATGGAACGGAACTTGAGCTGAAGTGGAGTGACATGAATCGATTGACGTGTGGAATGAAAAGTGTGGAGCAACATAGAGGGAATGGAGTGGAATGAACAGAAAAGAGTGGGATGAACTGAAATGAGTGGAATGAACTGTAAGAGTGGAATTCGCTGGCATGGAGTGCAATGGACTGGAATGGAGTGAAACAAACAGTGAAACTGACCGGAGTGGAGTGAAATGAACTAGAAGTTATGACGTGGAATGAAGTGGAATCGAGTAGGATGGAGTGGTTTCGAGTAGGATGGAGTGGAATCGAGTAGGATGGAGTGGAATGAAGTGATATAATGGAATCGATTGGAGTGGCATGGAATGGAGATAGTGGACTGGAATGCAGTGGATGAAGCGAACATGAAGTGAAATGAAGTGAAATCAATCATGATAATTACTACGAAACTTGGATCCTTTGAAAGTCACAGTTGTCCCAAACATCGACTTGCCAACATGCTGACTCTTTTGGCGTAAGGGCGGATATCCTTCTGGCAGCAGATCGTACCGACATCAGTAAGGCCTTCGCGTGGCATCCCTGGTAGCGTTTTGGCACAGGAAACGGCGACGTGAGCAAAACGGCGATCTGAGCGAAAATGGCCATCAAAGCAAATACTTGCCCGGAGAGTAGCCTTTGAAGCTGGGGTCAAAGTGTGCGAATAAGAAGGTGCTTGGACCATTGTTGGGGCCAAGGGCGGAACAAAACAGCCAATTCAACGCATCACGCTTTCGCACCTGCGACCAGTGTCTGCAAAGCCACTGCTGCGTGCGCAGCATTTCGTCCGCATCGCGTCGCGTCAATATCCGCCCGGGTTGCGGAGTACTCAGCGGCCCCTGGCTCGCATGTCAGGAGCCCCCCACCCCCCCACCCGCAACTCGAACCGTTGAGGATTTCTGTTCGAAGGCGGAGTGGATGTCCCATGCCACAGATTGCGAGAACTGTGCTGGCTCGGAAAGCCAAAGATCATTTCATCAAGAGAACTGGCCCATATTCACAGAGTCTGTCAGAATTGAAGGAACCCCATGTTTATGGGTGGGGTTCCAAGAAGTTCTCACCAGACACAGCCTAGCCAGAAGAGGCCGGTCGCAGGGCCTGAGCAGATGTCCAGCCCTCGCGGGGCTGTGGGCGAGAGCACAGCTTTGGCAGATCGAACACGGGGCCAGGCGCGCGAGATGCGGCTGCAAAGTGGCCACCGAGAGTTCTCTCAGTGAACACGCTCGCAAATGGGACGCAAAACAAAGTGCGACGCGGGAGGTGAGCCAGTTGCTCGGCTAGCAGCCTGCAAAGGTCTTTGCGGCCACCTTGTTTCATTGATGCTTGCGAAGCGACCGGCCGGGAGGTAGCAAACCATCCTTGTTGGTTGTTCATTTGGGTTTGCAACAAAGACGCAAAGACGCAAATCCCTTGCTTAGTAGGGAGGAGAGATGAATTTGCCATGCGTATTTGCAGTGGGGAAGCAACCGTACCGCAACTCAACAGCCAATTGGCTCGGAAAACAGGACGACGCGTACGCGGCGATCTCTCGCGTCGTCGAACGTCGAAGACTCCAGAATGTCACATCCGTCCAAAGAGAGCGAACGCCACAAAGGCTTCAAACACCAAACCACAAGGGTCCCTTGGTACCTTCAAAACTCATGTCGTTTTTGGGGATGGCAAGGGAAATGCTGGTTTACAACCCTAGTTGAAGAAAGCACCTTGTAGAGGCCTGGGGATTCACTGTGGGCTCTAGAAAAAAAGTACCAGTTCCATCAACGGCCTCAGCCAAGCGCCCCGTCTTTTTTGCTTCTTCTGGAGCCGTCTCAGGCGGGCCGAGGCTTCTTGCCCCGACGCTTGGCGGCCTCACGGCGCTTGTTGGACATGTCCTGAGCCGGACCGCCACCCGAGACGTCGGCAGGGAGGGTGCCCTACCTCCCATTGAGATATTTTGGGCTTTAAGTACCTTAAATACAAAAAGATCCGTGAGAATACATGGTGCCGGTGTTGGAGCATTCATCTTGGCGCCTAGGCTTGCCCACGGAATCTTGAAAGGCCACTCAAAGTGGGTTTTAGTTTGGATGCCTCTTTGAACGCCATCCAAAAACAGGTCCTCTGTTGTTGACCCCCCAAATGCTCAGACGCAGACGGACAGGACGCAGCTGCTTGTGGCCTGTCACGTACTGCATCATTGTGTGGACAGAATAGAAACACAAGACAGCGCACAACATCCTGTCCTGTGTCTTGTCCGTCTGCGTCTGTCCGTATGCGACAAACGAGAACACACTGGACGTCAGTCAACCCACACCCGCGACGATCCAAAACAGCGGAGTCACAAGCAACGCGTTACCAATAGTCACAAGCACTGGAGACTTAAACCATGGGCTACGGGCTGAGAGGCCCCCTGATGGTTGGCATGGGAACATCTGCTCACAGCGGGATACGGGATACGCTTCTTGTCTCATTGCGGGGACAGAAGTGTGTGTGTCCGTTTGGGTGCCCCTTGACACCAACAACATTCACACAAGGAGGCAAGGGGCTGAACAGTTGTCCGGCAAAACAAGGATTGTAGTTGGCTTCGTCATTCCCATCATTCCACTTTCGTTAGGTTTCCCTCCAAAAACAAAAAAAACTCAGGGTTCCCTGAAAGAACACATATCCACATTTGAGGGAACCACCAATCTCCTCCAAATATCATCCTCCACGCTTTGGGCATGCAATTCCAGGGGTCGCCCTCCTCCAATCCATGTTCATCCATGTTCAAGGAATGTTCACCTGTCTTGCCCAGTGGGTGCCAAGCATAACAAACCTCACTTGCCTAAAGGACCTGGAAATACAAGTTTAACCTTTTGAGACCTAAGTTTGGACCGAACACAGGAAACCCAAAAGGTCGAGAGATCTTCCTACTCCAGGACGCAAATGACAATCAAATTGGGTTACACCACGCGTCCGCTTTATAAGGAGGCAGAGAGTTCCCCATCCTCGATACACAATTTTGTGACGCACACGCCGGGACTTCTTCATTAATGGCCATGACTCAGCAGCTTGGATGCACATACGCTCACATGTGGATCAATGAGAGTGTGCTGTTTTCATTGTTGTGGGGGGATATCTCTTGTCGACTTGCTTTGAAGGAAGTCCATGAGAGGAAACAACCCATTGTAGAGTTGTTGAGGCGAGGGTCAATGCAGAGAAAAGGGGCAAATCAAGAACTCCTGTAAGTCCTTCCGGTGGTTCATTCCCAAAGGAGAAGCTATGGGATTCAGCCTACCTTGGGATAGTCAAAACAAAACATGGACCCCTGCTTGGATGTTCCACCCACTTCGTATGTTCTATGTTGTAACTGTGGTTCTAAGTTATTCGTTGGCATAGAACCATGGTTGTAACCTACTTACATGGGTTGAACAGCCAAGTAGGGATCTTTGATTTTGTGTGGGCCATCCCAAAACAAATCATTCCCACAACCCTTAATTTCCCACGACCATGACCCTGAATTCCCCAGTCTCCCCAGAGATCCCATCCCGCGGAAAGAGTTCCACGCCGAAGTGGCGGACTTGCTCTCCCGCTGCTTCCAGTCGACCCCGCAGAAGGTCAGCGAAGCCTCGAAGTCCAAGTCCGACATCGGTGGGATCTTGGGCTTCTTCCCCTTCTTGCCATACCCGAGCCTGCAGGGTTCTCCATATGGGCGTGTCTTTGTTTAGGACCCCCCCGAAATGGTGGGTTTCCCTCTGCCAGGGCCTCCCTCATATAGGTACATCGTATCTCGCCCATTACAACCCAGGAGGAACCTCAGGAATCTTGCGAGCCTACGGAATTCTCTATATGGGCGTGCTAATTATTAGGGGACTTCCCGAAATGGTCGGCTTCCCTTTGGTCTCCCAACTCAAACAGGGTACCCAAGAAAGGCAGACCCAGTGCCCCAAAAATTCAAACACCCGAAAAGTCGTCATGTTGAAGCCGGCTGCAAAGGGAAACACAGAAGAAAAAAAAACCTTTCGGAAGGCTTCGCAGGTTCCAGATTTTGACCCAAACCCAACAAGAACCCACCTGGATTTAGCGCTAAGTGCTCTGGGCCGGAAAACCGTTTCTTGGGCCAATGAGAGACGCAAGAAGAAGCCAGCCCAAGATTCTCAGAACCCAAGAAGGATCTAAGATTAAGAACCTTGCTGGGTGCAGCGCCTTTGGTTTCCTGCCAGAATCATGGCGGGTCGGTTTGCAGCTTGTCCGGGGTTTGCGCTAGTGGCTTGGATCGCTGGACAGCGTTTGGGACTGCAATTCGACATGTTTCAGAACAGCCTTGCCAAGTGGAAAACACAGGAATCGAACCTGGACAACAAACGAACGCATCAACTGAACAGCCTCCCGTGGGCTAACGCGCACACGTGACACAAGCGGTAAAATTCACAAGAACCGGATTAGACGTGTTCAGCCACAGAGCTCACGCTAGGTTGAGGACACCCGCCACGTGTGTTGTGTTGCTGAAACCATTCAAATGTGGAAGCGAAAGCTAAGGGGCGTGATCTTCTCACTCCCTCAGCGGATTGGTCAGACTCAGACTGGGACGTTGTTCTTACCACTAAACTGACTTTCCCAAAACATGCGTCAAGTTCACAAACTCGGACGAGATCTCTTTGAGCAACTGGAAAGCAAGGGTGTGGGATGGGCGTGGGTAACCGTTCAATAATTGGCATCATGTTTTCACCATCCAAGTCACCCCAAAAGTGGTAGGTACGGAAGCTGCCCCGGTTTCTCAGTTTCTCTTACTGCCCGAAATCATGGTTGGTGAAATCCCTTGTTTAAGGCTAGGCTGCGGGTCCAGGCAGTCAAGAGGGTCAACGCACCCAAGAAACACGAACCCCGAAGTTTCCTGGTTTCACATCTCGACTCCAAAGGGACCCAAGCCTTTCGTTCCATACAGATCTGGATTTCCGAAATGAACAGCGAAGGTATATGTTCCATGAACTGGACTTCCGAAATGAACAAAGGTATATCAGGTAGACTTCAACCCACCCGAGGGATCGGATCCGACCTCCAGGGGATTCGGATGAGCCGCCGCTCCCCCACCGCCATGCCGGTGACCCCGATGACGAAGCCCGGCAGCATGGAGCCCTAAGCCGCCCCCGCCGGCGCCGGCCGGCTCGAGAGCAGTCGGCTCGAGAGCAGTCGGCTCGGGCCGAAGATCGAAGAGTTGGTTCAGCCATGTTGGGTGGTTACTGACCTAGGTTATTTTAAAGTAACCTACTGTGGATGGTTGCGAAATCCTGCACCACCTAAGAAACCCTGGAATGATGATTCCCCAATGAACACCAACAAACAAAGGTTTTTCGTGGTTTCAAAGTGGTGCAAGAGTTTGCCCATCCACAGTATGGGTTTTCAATTGTGAGACTGGCTCACCTAAGTCAGGTCAACCGAGTTGCCAGGGTATTCGTTAGGCTTCCTCGGACGTCTTTTAAAAGGAAAAGGACGTTTCCGGGAACTTAAGGGACGTTTTTGGGGTGGGCTCTTGCGTCTCTAATCCTGGGCCGGCCAGGTTCACCTGCTCATGACTTGCATGGCCCACGTGTTGCAGTGGAAGTGGTGTCATCACTACTTCAAGCCAAGTTTCAAACGAAGCCAGCAGCATACCGTATACCAAAAAGAACGCGTGCTTTTAAATTTCCACCGATGTCTACTTCAGAAAAAGGTGCGTAGTCAAACAGTAGACAACCCGTAGACAACCCATAGAGAGGACGTTGTTTGCCGTAGAACGCACATTCTTTGGCGTAGAACGCACGTTTTTTGGCGTAGAAAGGACATTTCCTTGCACCCCCCCCCCTGGGAGAGCAAAATTGACACGGGAATTGTCGCACCGTGATTTCCAAAAAAATGTCCTTTGTAAACCCCAAAATGTGCTCTGGACCCCATAAATGTGCTTTATCACAAAGGACGTTCTTTTTCTTCATGTGCTTTGGAGTCCGAGGGTATTTGAGGCTTACACTTGAGTGCAAGATGGCAAATTTCCCCCTTTCGGACTAGTCCGTTCATTTACTTACCCACAAAAAAGGGATTGTAAATATCTATACTTTCACCCTGCGTATCTGCAAAACATAGGAAACTCTTCCGTTGATGACGCTGTTAATGGGAATCCCACTCTCAACCCCAAAAAAGAAACATCTGGCCATTTCGTACTCAACCCCGGACTTGCGATGCGGGGTGAGCTCCATGCAAAGGAGGCTCTTTCCCTCACATTGTGCTTGTCACAGCTGAGCGTGGTGCTCCGACATTACATGACGTTACATTACATTACGCTACATTGCATTAAATTACATTACAGCCATCCCAACTGACGGACCTCTGCTCCGAACAGGACAATGGGCTACTTTAACGCTCTCTAACCCCCTTCCCCCGAAAAGGACTTCTACCAGCCCAGTCGTTCGATTGTATAAGTCGCCAACCCAGTGCTTCCGGAAGCTTCGCCACGGTGGGTAACCAGTTGGGTTCTTGCCTTTAGGTTTTGCATGATGGTGCCATGTTGGTCAAAGGAAGGGGATTAACGACCCAAATCAACCCCCAAAAAATCAGCTTTGGTTGGGGATTGTCTTTGAGAGGATGGGGGCGAGTTTGCGAGAGACCCGTCCCCAATACACCATTGCGATTAAAGGCTGCTCCTCTTAGCATTTCGGCCAATACTGGCACACCCTTCTAGTCATCTTTTGGCACCCGACACCCGCAGATTGAAGGTGCATAGTTCCTTTCTAGTGCTACCCTCCCCATTCTTTCCAGGGATCCTTCTTTCTACGGAAACCCATGAAAATGGCCGGTTGTCGAAAAGAACGATGGTTGGAAAGAATGGTAAATCAACCCTTCGATCCTTCCACAACCGAGATATAATGCAGCTGTTCATTGCAATACATTTGCACGTACAGTCACTGTTCGGCCAACACTGCTTCCTCTCCTAGTTCCAAGACCCCTTTCCGAAATCTCGATGAACAACGCTGGTCACCAAATGTCTTAGCACGGCCACAAATCACTGTGTGACAAGCTCATCAAGGTCGGCCCCTTCAGGGACAGTCCTCACACTGAGGCAAACCCCTGCAAACTTTGGGACATTCTCTGAATTTAACACCTTGGACTTTGGCCACTTAATCATTCAACTTGATCCTCCCGTTAATTTACTTGACCAGACGGATCCGACCCCCTGCACAAAACAAAAGTTGTTGGTTGAAGTTGAAAGGGACATCATGGAATTACCAAAACGGCACAAAGATAGATCTGTAAGCTTAGCCGTACCCAAAAGCTCAGACGTTTCTGTTGGATCAGTGTACTACGAAATCCTGCACCACCTAAGAAACCATGGAATCATGATTCCTGTGTAAATACCAACAAACAATCATTTCATCATGGTTTCCAGGAGGTGCCGGATTTTGTCCATCCACGGTACTGCAAGCCTCAAAACGGGTTGCCTCAACCCAACCGTCCCGCCGCCGTTGCCGGGGCCCCGGGCATCGCCCAGCAGGAAGTCGATCTCCCCGTTGTCGAAGCGGCGGTCATTCTTGGCTGGCAGGCGGCCCTGCCCAAAGACGAGCGAATCGGTTGGGGCGGGGGGGGGGGATTGTCTTTTTTTGCGAACCCCAATTTTGGTTGGCGTCTGAACAGAAGCCCATGAATACTGAGAACCAGCGAAGTCCACTTGGACCGCCTCGAACAATGAAACCGACCCCATTCGCAGCGGCTTCACCTCAAGGAAAGGACACTTACTGGCCGGGAGATTCATCCACTTTACCCTGCCCACGGCATGCGAACCGATCAATCCATCCAACTAGTACCCAGGTATAAAACACCGACTAAACTTGGCCCAACGCTGTTTCGAAGCTCCTCATTTGTTCACATGGTCCACAAATCCAACCGAAAGGGAGGAGACTCCACGAAAATGCGGCGCTCCCTCCAATGCCCTTGGGTCACTTCCGTCCGGCCAGTCCACGGGCGCCCAGCCGCCTCGTAGATGAGCCGCAATTCGCAGCCCTTGGCGGCGATGGCCGCGCCCTCCGGAGCTGCGCGTAGCACCTGGCGAAATCTGACGAGCAAATGGGTCCTGGAGATTCCACCGAGGATTTCCTCGGGTAAAACCTGGGCATTGACCCTGTTTCTCGGCATATGTCCAAAGTGGCGCAAAAACAAAATCGTTGCCCCTTCAAAAAGGCTCTCAACATTGCAAACCCTACCTTCCAATTCCATTTCCAGGGATCCTTCTTTTCAGGAAGCCAAACACCCAGGCAGGGGAAGCCACTTTCAGCTTCCCTCTAATTGGATCTAGTTGGTGGCCTGGAGCCCGGTGGTTTAGTGAAGCTAAGGGGTGGTTTGCCCCCCTTTTCCGCTCACAACAAGAGCCAAGGGTGCAATTCGAAATCACCCCCCCCAATCCAAACCTCCAATTTAGGTTTCTCAACATGGTGGACTCGTTGATGTTTTAAGGCAAAGCAAAACGACACCAACCGTTGTGGAGGTCACTCAATTTCAGAAACGCCCCCTAGTAAGTGCTTCAGATCCCCACTTCATAACTCCCGTAAGTGGGATTCACCACTGGGGGGGTCTTCAACTGACAATGGATTTTGGTGAACCATCCCTTTCTCTACAGGGGACGATCGTGTTGCACAGGTTGAACACCGAGCGAAAACAACTCCCCCTTCCCTGCAGTCAGCTGGGGTTGCAGGAATGCTCGCAGCGCAAGCCCCCTTGACATTTGTGGGGGATTGAACACTGCAACCTTGCTCTTGACAGGGGCTGAATCTTGCTAAATTGCACGAGCCCCCTGCGGGAAGGGATGAATAAGTGTTTTCAATACGTTGGGCAGAAAGAAGTAACACCTGCAACCCTAGACTAAAAATTTGTAGTAAAACACTTATCCATCCCTTCTCGCAGGGGCTCGACTCAGATATTGCCCCCAGCCAGCACTCCTTTTCTGCAAATTTCCGGGTTGATGTGCTTCTCGTATCAAAACTGCACACTACCGTTTCGATTTGAACATCTGGCTGATGTTGCCAGACGGGGGCTGTTTTCTTCCATTTGTTCGCATGGGAATTTGAATGTTGTAGACTCGACAACATTTCTCGTCGGTTCAACACCATTCCCCGTGTCGCCCACTCGACAACATTTCTCGTCGGTTCGACAACATTTCCGGAAATGTTGTCGGGTCGACAACTCTTTTCCTTTTCCTGTGGAAATTTGAAATGTCGTCAACTCGACAACATTTCTCGCCGGCTCGACAACATTTCCGAAGATTTCGTCGACTCGACAACATTTCTCGTCGATTTGACAAGTCTTTCCTTTTCCTGTGGAACATTGAAAATGTCGTCGACTCGACAACATTAACAACTTTGATATTTTCCCGTGAAAGTTGAAAATGACGTCGACTCGACAACATTTCTCGTCGATTCGACAATTCCGGAAACTTAGTCGGCTCGCCAACATTTCTTGTCGGTTCGACAACTTTTCCCTTTTTCCCAAGAGGAAACAAAATGTCGTCGACTCGACAACATTTCTCGTCGATTCGACAACATTTCCGGAATTTTCGTCGACTCGGCAACATTTCTCCAAGATTCGATCACATTTCTCGACTCGACGCAATTCTCGTCGATTCGACAACATTTCCGGAAATGTTGTCGAATCGACAACATATCTCGTCGATTCGACAACATTTCTGGAAAGGTTCGTCGGTTCGTGTTTTTTTTTCAGAAAAAACTGTGAAAACACTTATTTTTAAGGCAAAAATGACAAGAAAACACTTATTTTTATGCCCCCAACTCCGTGAAAACACTTATTGAAAAATGCTGCGCAAAAATGTTGTCAACTCGACAACATATCTCGTCGAATCGACAACATTTCCAGAAATGTTGTCGAATCGACGAGATATGTTGTCGAGTCGACGAGATTTCCGGAAATGTTGTCGAATCGACGAGAAATGTTGTCGAGTCGACGACATTTTCAAATTTCACGCCAAAAAGGAAAAACTTGTCGAGTCGAGCAGGTTTCTAGAAATGTTGTCGAATCGACGAGAAACGAGTCGACGACATTTTCAATTTTCACGGGAAAAAGGAACAAGTTGCCGAATCGACGAGAAATGTTGTCGAGCCGAAGAAATTTCAGGAAATGTTGTCGAATCGACGAGAAATGTTGTCGAGTCGACGAAATCTTCGGGAATGTTGTCGAATCTTCGCGGCCGCCTTTGTAAGGCAGTGAGCGCCTCCATGCCATCCGCTGTTGCTAGTACTGCTTGAGTTCGCGCTTCTGCTTGTGAACGCTTGTTGCTTGAGCTGTGCTCCGTGCATGAGGGCATGCCCACACTCTTGTGAATGATGCTTCCGCAACGCAGTTGCATTTCCAACTGCGACCATGAGACTCACTGATTCCTCCAAGGCAAACTGCAACAGAAAGAAGATGCCACATGACACATGATGCCACCAAGCTAAATCCTCAATGAGTTGCATGGTCCTTGGTTGATCCGGAAAAGGCTCTTCGAGCTTTTGGAATCTTATCGAACCTGCAAATTGCAAAAGGTCAGATTATCAGCAAGTAACACCCCATTCAGGTTGGAAGAAAACCGATATCGTCCATCAGATCTGTCGCCTCCAACGTTTCAACAGGGGGAAACCTGGTTGCCTTGAGGAAGTGTTCAAACCAGTCCGCGAGTCGTGTGAAACACTTCTTGATTTGGAATAGCCCCCCCCCCCTGAGCTCGTGCAATTTAGCACTGAATCTTTTCCCAAAAGCCGCTGGTTTCCCTTTGGTGGAAAGGGTCATGATCCTCAAAACCTCAGAAGACTGCAAGTGAGGCTTCATCAAATTTTCAAGTTCAACTGCGAAGCCCTAGGGACCCTTTGGATACGTGCACGTCGCCAAGCGCGCAGCCCAGAAAAACCGCATGCACCCATGCGCATGCGCGCGCGGCTTCGGGCGACCGGAAAAGGGCGCCTTGATGGTCACACCTCCCTGCAGCTTCTTCTCTGTGCCCGTGGGTAAAGGCCCTGGCGCAGAAACCAACAAACAGCCCCACGATTCGCGCGCGCAAGGTTTTTGAGGGTACCCGTTTTGGGAGGGGGAGTGCTTCTAAAAGGAAAAACAAATATTGGGGGCTTTGGTACCCTTTTCACCCTGGCGTAAGGAACGAACAAGAACACCCGCCCCTTTTTTCGGGCGGAATCTAAACCCACTGAGACGCACAGTTCAGCAGGTCCACCCCCCGCTCGAAACACGAATATGTTTGACAACCTCCTTTTGTTCCTAAAGCTGGCCAGGGTCTGGTTGAAACTGAACCCTAGTTGCCCGAGCTTTTTCTCCTGATTGACTGGGAGTATACACAGTCACTTTGTAACGTGCCCATTTCCGGGGAAATGTATGGGTGCGGAGTCATTTCGTGTTTTTTTTTTTGGGGGGGATCTTTCCTTCGCTTTTCGTGCGGGCCAGTAAAGTGTTGTATTTTAAAGAGTTTTCTTGCGAAATTGACGTATTTTGCACAAGGACCCTCAACATCCCCAGCATCGCTTTCAGACCAACATCCCCAGCATCACCAACAAATCGTGAGTTGCAAAATCTAGAAAGTGGCTGGCGGGTTGACGGGGTCGAAAAAAAATGATTCACATAAGAGTGCGTTTCAAAAAACAAAAAACATCTAACAAGTAGCGGGGGGTTGGGGGGACACCGCAGCCCCCCCCCATGATAGGGGGTGCAAGCAAATCTCTGTAGAAACCCAAAAGTAGCAGGGGGGTTGGGGGGGGGGGGGCAGCCCCCCCCATGATGTTCGAAGAAGTGATGATTTAAATAGGGAGGAACTGGTGATGCTGAGGATGCTGGAGGGTGAAAAAGCTGAAAAGCCCGGAGAGGAACTGGGCATGCAGAGGACGCGAAAAGCCAAAGCCACCAAACGCCGCATAAACCAACAAGAAGCCAAGAAGCCAAGAAACCAAAAAGGCAAGAAGCCGAGAAGCCAAAAAGCCAAGAAGCCAAGAAGCCAAAAAGCCAAGAAGCCAAAAGCGAAAAAAAAACACATCCCCTCCGAAATGTATTTTGAATACGAAAAAAAACAAAAACCTACCAAATACCTAGGCACATCTGCGCTCATGGGAGAAGACACGGTCCTGGCTCATCCGTGCTCACACGCGCATGCCCCATTTTTGCGCGGGTTAGGAGGCGAAATCCGCGGGCAAGGATGACTCTTCCCCCTTCCGTGTTGCCCCCCAAAGTGGTCCACGGGGGGCAACAACATGGCGGTGGAGAATAAGCCTTTCTATACTCAACCACTGTGGGCCATCATGACTATATTTCTATGGCTTGATTCCCCATTCTTTTCAATCATCGTTCTTTTCAACCAGGCGTTTCCCCTGGATTCTGGAGGGGAAGCCCTACAATCTTATCTTGAAGATGTCCTCCACAAAATGCCCCGAATTCCGCAAAATATGTTTGTTTGTTCCTCAGCGCCCCGGAGGCCATCTTTTCCACAGTCAGCGGGGACCGGCCTGGCTTTGCCTCCGGCGCCTCGGACTCGGGCGCCTCAGAGGTGACAGGCAACACACGGCGAGTTGGAGGGGCAAGCAAGGACTTTTTTGACACACAAGGCATAGTTTCCTATGCCCTCTTTGGCTTACATGGCCTTGCCAGTTTCTGGCTGACCTTGCCTCTGCCAAAATTCCCTGCTTCACAAAGCACACAGTGCAAGCAAGGATCTCATGAAGGTATGACGACGCCTTAGGTTACCGGCGTCTCTCTCATGTCATATGCTTCTCCCCCAAACTGACCACAGACTTCAGGATGTTTCCACCGAGTCACGTAACACACAACCAAACAACCTTTAGACAAGGTTGACATCGAGCCTGGTCTTGGGGCTTACTCTGGCGATGTCAGGGTTACCACACTCAGCCTTTGGCACCTGGTCATCTACGATGCAAAGCTGGCCTGGGGAATGATGAAACCAACCCAAAAGGGAAAATATGGGTGTGACTCTGAACAAAAAGGACGCTTTGGTGGACATCATTTAGATGGGGCTTGACTTCCAGCCAGTCTGGAGCTGGCTCCCTGTTCATTGTTTGCTTGCTTGCTTGCTTGCTTCTTTTTTTCCCCCCGCTTCTTTGTTCCTTTGTTTGTTTGCGTGTTTCTTTGTTTGTGAGTGAGTGTGTGTGTGTGTGTGTGTCTTTGTGCTTGCTTTGTGTGTTTTCGCATTTCTTGTGTTTCTTTGCTTGGCTTGGTTGGCCAAAAACGGTCCCCACACCTCGCTCGCGACTCGCACACACCTCGCCTGCGTTGCCTCGGCCGTGCTGCCAGGCTCGGCTTCGCGAGCCGCGCGCCTGGCGAAGTGGCCGAGTCTGGACTCATTGGCGCCACTATTTGTCGGATTGCAAGTGGCACACATAATTGTGCTCCCACTTGCGCCCGATTCAATCTGGGCCGAAAAGCCCCGCCGCCCCATTTCCGGCCTTTCATTTGCGGCTGGCCGTTCATAGTGCCTGATTTCAAGCAATATGCACACAGTGGTTCAAGCAATATGCACCCAGTGGTATTTGTCGGTGGCATCATAATAAATAACGCAAGCAACAAGAACAGGACATGTGCAGAAATGTGTATTTTCTCGCAAAGAAGGGGCGCTGAAACTCTGTGACTTTGCTTCCGATAGGACACACCACGTGGGCTGATGTCTTTTCAAATGAACCAATCAAACATGTTTGGTATTTGAACGAAACCATCAGTAAAATCGGTCACAAACCACATACCTGAGAACGATTTGTTGTTTGCCCACATCTGGAGTGTCCATGACGCCTTAAACTACAAAACTATGCTCAAAAGTAAGGGATCATCACCCCGAATATTTCTAACCGGGGCTGTGGGAAATGACCCCTGATACAACAGTAAGGGCTTCCCAAACACCAACCCACCACATAACAAAAACAATAAATCCCTTGTATCACAGAAGTGGGGTAAAACCTGTTGATCCCACACCCCGTATGCTTAACGGTCTTAGAGACTCCAGGCACTTCAGTCACCGAGCCAAAGGCTCCAGCACTCCGCTGCTCCGCACCTCGGGCGCTTCTTGGGAAGCTCAGGTTCAGCATCCGGCTTGGCGGCCTGGAGAGTCCCATAGGTGTGAAGAAATCGATGGCCCTGGCAAATGAAAATGGCATAGACCCCATCGAAACCAGTGAAACCCCTCGATTTCTTATGACACACTCACCTGCAAATTGGACACCTATGTTCACACGCCTGTGTCAAACCTGCTTCCAGCTACCACAGGTCAGCGGCGAAGATTCATGATGTGAATCTAAAGCATCGAGGAACGCTGTTGGGCACACGGGGTCTTCAGGAATTCTCAAAAACTAACTCGTAGGCTAGCACATATGGCCATGCCGGTTGCTCCTTTATGTCTGGGGAGTGGTGTTCAAGGTCTCCAACTGCCTCTGCAGGTCTCCGGCCTTTCGCTTCTTTCTCTTCCTCACCTTCGGCGCTTCCTCAGAGTCATCCTCCAGCAGCGCAGCATAGCGATTGCCGGCCAGGGCAGCATGCGCACGCATGGCACGGCCGCTGTTGGAACACTGCGATCTGCGCAAATGACTACCCCAACCTCAGGGAAAACGGGCACCCACTTTCTCTACTTGGATTCAAAGGAGAACCCCTTCAAAAGAAGAGAATACGGCACTCTTCCGGGCTATGTGCGTGGGTTTTGGAAGCCCAACGGACACCAACCACTTTGGGGGCCCAAGTCGTTTCCAGCGCTTTCAGTTGCCAGCATAGTAGGCAAATAGGGGAACCCATCATGTAAAACCCAAGAGGGAAGAAATCCTGCATGTTGGAATTGTACTCCTTTGCGGTATGCCAACTGAAAGCACTTCGAGCCTAAAGTGACAAACGCCTGTGCTAGTATGCCCTCAAACATGGAAGTGCGCATACTCCTTCACTAGAAGTCGGCAGTCTTCCAAATGGGTCGAACGAGCAGCAAACCATGCTTGTTGGAGGGATACTATTCCCCAGCCGCTGTGTTCCGGCCCGCAAGAGTGGAACTTCAGAATCAATGGGTACCCAAGATTCATCACGAACCCACCTAAGGACACCTTTAAATGGCGAGGGTTGAACGCCTTGCTAATAAGGGCCAATACAGATGAACAAAGGCCTTTACAGTCGAGCGTTGGCGGAGTGGTCCGTTGGGTCTTGCTATGAAACGTGACGGTTTCATTAGCTGGATAGTTTCCCCACGTCTTCCATGGCCGCGGGTTAACATCTTTGAACCCCTTCGCCTTCCAAGTCCCTGCGCGGCGTTTTTGTCTCTGATCAGCAATTGGACTGTCTGGGCGCCCGGGAACATTCGCATGGACTTTGCATGCACTACTGTACGCTCTCATTGAAAGCTACATCGGAAACAGCAATATTTGCTGCCTCTCTTCAACCAATGGTGCTTTCCTGGATGCCAAATTGGGGCTGCAAACCATCCCCTGCAGTGTCCTTTTGGACAGTGAAGATTCAGCACCCAGTTGTGACTGCGCTGCGAGTTTACTCAGAGGTTGTGAACAAATGAGCGCTTGATGCTTGACCACAGGGACATTGGGGTGTTTTTTTTCTGGGTGACGGTGACTGTTGTTGGGGCTTTGAAGGCAAAAGGAAATCAGGCCTGGGCTCCACTTGGCCCATGGAAATGAAAGGTCTGTTGGATCCAAGCATCCCTAAAGACAGCCCAACTGAACTTGGCCCAAGCCTGAGGTTTCGGAATGCGTCGTATCAACCCCCAGCGAACATCCGATTCAATCCCCACTAAAATAGGTTCTAAACTGGGTGGTGCACCGAAAACCCCAAAATGGGATCCCATTAGCTTGGACCCATGGACATTATTTTATTGGAGGAGACCCCAGTTCAGGGTCGATAAGCCTGAACTCCACCGAAGGCAACAGTTGAGGGGACCGGATCTTTAGATGTGTGTGTGTGTGTGTGGTGAAATCAAGGAAAGGCCAGAAGGCAGATTCGCTTTGGGCCCAGTGAGTGCTCACAGCGTCATGTCCAGCTCACTGCTGCTGGTTGGCATGCCATAGTAATAGAAGACCTGACATGATAGTGCGGATGGACGAAGAATTCATCATTTTGCACCACCTAAGGAACCATGGTTGAAACCATTGTTTGTTGGTAGTAAAAAGGACAGCATGTCATTCCAGGGTTCCTGAAATGTAGTGCAGGATTTCGTCCATCCACAGTACTGGTGAGCACTACAGTACTGGGTGTTGGCAAGGGGTGGGGAAGCATTAAAAATTGCCGTTCCCCTTCTGCTTTCCTCTTGGAAAAGATGTGGGTTAATGGGCAACCAGACAACAGAGCACCCCAGGGAATTGACAAAGCTACCCCCAACTGCGGATAAAACCGGGTGCTTGGCCTCCATACATGACTTCCCTTGTACCTACAAAGGGAAAGCATCTGAAGGGCCCCTGTATTGGAGGCGATTCCATACATTATTTGGTCATGTGCCACATTGGTCTCTGCCAAAATAGGAATCCGACCCCGCCGAACAAGTTGTTGCTTTCGCCAAAAGAGGGTACCCTTAACAAACACAGACCGCTGAGGCCAAATAAGGCCAACTTATGGCCTCGTGTTTTGCCCCGGCAACGCTTTGCGGCCGATCCCGTGGCAAGTTGGGTACGCTTGCTTGTAGGCTACTGAAAGTGGCAGGTGTTGCAGGTGAAACGGAAAACATGAAAGAACGCCAAGGGCCTTTAAGGGCAAAACGGTGAGGCACAAGTGCAATGAAATCTGCACCCCAAATTTGCCCATCGCCTGCACCTTCGGTGCCTTTGGTACAGTCACCGGAAAGTTGCCCGCCAGCCGAGAACATGCTGTGCGTAGACCCCCGCCCCACGACAAATCAATAGAACCAAGAACCACTGACGAAAATATCCTCGAATAACCTCCCAAGAAATGAACGCCTGGTGTAATATCTTGAAGGCAAGGAACCCTTACCTACCTTTTGGCTTGCCTGCAAGCACTAAGGTTGCTTTGTCAGGAATCTGAGGAAGTGGCACAGTGACGTTTGAAATTATGCGTCGGACCAGAACTGTTTATGTGCTTGTCTCAAACTTAGGGACCTCCAACACATAGTTTCGTTTTCATTACTTTTAAGGGGCTACCAACAACAAAACACGCCCGTTTCCCTAAAGGGAACCAGAGTGGGGAGATGGTTCAAACAAAATGTCCCAACCCTGCCCGGAAATGGTTCTCATTCGGGAATGCGGGAATGACACCCTGTGAACCATCCAATTGGTGTCCCAAAACCTGTCAAAGGATTCCTCACTGAGAATCAGCAAGTAGTACGCATGCCTGGCTCCTTGGGCCCGTTGTGTGACGACATCGCTTACGTCCCCCCAAAAGCCAGACCCCCAGTGGATGCGCATGAAAGCAAAAGGGCACCCATTTTGGGTAGTCTGCTCAGTTGCACAAAGGACCCGTAAATAAAAGGTTCACCTTTTGGTGCGATGACTAAACATGGACCAAACATGGGACACCAAAAAAGATCAAACGGTCAATTCGCTTTTGGCAACTCAGTAGGTTTTGGGAAGGGACACCGCCTCGACTTCGGAAAAGCGGAAGCAACTGGAGGTTTGCCTCAATTTGCTTCAGTACCCTGAAAAAAATACCATTTTGCCCCGGGGTGAAAGCCATTCCCTTTAAACCCACCAGGGAAAAAACCACATATTTTCTTCACCAACGGGAGGCGTGGGTTTCAAAGTCGCCAAGGGCACTGTCGCGGCCAGCAGTACCAGGCAGGCCATGAGGATCCTCAGCTTTTCAACGGGGTCCGCGGAAGGACACGAGCAACCCCCCCCCCCCCCCAGGTCTGGGACCTGGCCAGTCCTCTCAGGTCCTGTCTGGCCAACAGGATTGCAATAGGAAAGTAAAAAAGTACATGGCACCAGGCCTGGAGTCTCCTTCCAACCTCGAAAAATGCACGACCCCACGTTAGGTCGGAAGGAGACTCCAGGGAAGTGCTATTTCCCAGGCCTGGAGAGGGCCGGGATTCATCAACGTAGCCTTGAAGGGGGCGACCCTTTCCGGGCTTGCGAAACCCTGCTTTGTTTTAGCAAATCGAAGTAAGACTAGACATGTGCTATGTCCGGCTACATGTGTGTTTACTCGGAGACTCTGAGACAATGACAAAAGTTATATTGGCAAAAGTATTGGCAATAGCCTTGGTAATTTAATTCATACGTGTTTGGTATGATTGGGATGTTGGGCCTTCTTTAATCAGATAAGGTTTTCTGGGAAGGAACAACAAAAATAATCGGAGGGGTCTTTTGGCTGCCATTCAAGTGGCAGTCTGGACAACATCCGCCATCTTATTCACCCTCCTTTTGGACACTACATGGGATTGTCGTTTGGTGGGGAGGTAAAACAAACGCACACACACACACACAATTTGGGGTGTCCCGCCGAAATCCTCATCATTTCTGTTTTCACATCCTCAGGAGGTGTCCCTTGCCGTTCTGTCCAACTGGCTCGGGACATGGGGGTGTCTTTTCTTAACCCTACCAAACATGCTGCGTTTCCTCGTGCTTGCCCCAAACGCCAACCAAGGGCCCCCCCTCTCCCAAAGAAAAAACAAGAAGAAGAAGAAGAAGAAGTGCATTCTTCCCTAAAAAAGGCCAACCAAGCCACCCCCCCCCCCCCAGCCCCCACCGCCCCCCCCCCCCCAAAATCCCCCACTCCTCCCCCCCACCCCCTCCCCACCCTCAATCCCACCTTTGGAGGGAGACAGTCGGGAGCTGGGCCCCAGGCCACGTGCATGAGCCTTGCTGCTCTTGCCTCGATCCCAGCCCAAAGGCCAAAAAGATGGGCTCGGCCAGCAATGCTTTCTCCGTATTTGCTCGTGTATGTCGACTCGACACGTTGGACAGGCCGCAACATACACTTACAAACTGGGAAACACCTCTAACTATGAGTAATGTCCCTAAACTGCAGGAAAGTTATCTTGACAAATACAGAGGAGATTGCGAAATGTTGAAACAGATCCCCCCCCCCAACCGAATATCATAAGGCCCTGGTTGTACACGATTTTGCATCTAGAAAACCTGGGTATTGAATAAACACGGGGGACTCGCAAAAAACACCCACAAAATTAAAGTGAAAAACATCAAACAGGGCCATGTGGGTGTGTCTTTTTTTGAGGTACCCTTTTTGAGATTGCTTGAAGGCAAAGCAAAAGGACAATCAATATCCCCAAATTGAACAATAAGCCCCCACTCCGTGGCTTCTATGGATTTCACCCACTTATGGGCCAATGGGATCGAGCTATGGGCGGGCATCCAAGTGCTTCCCCCCTGGAAAGGGTCGATGAGACAATTTCTTCGCTGAGAATTAATGTCTTCGATCAGAAGTGTCTTGGAAGCGATTTTCCTGGGACAGGGGTTTCCTTTCCAACTTTGGAATGGCACTTCGGATTGGTTCGCCTTGCGTGTTGCCGCGTGATTGGAGCAGGGGCGCCCTACCCTGAAGCTTCTGGAGACTCGGAAGGGTCCCCCTTAACCAGCTATGTGAGGTGAGCGATTTCCCCAGACAATAGGTCCCAAATAGCATTTGCCCTACACATAACCCACGCACTAAAAACGCATGAAGAGATACCACGCCACTTGCGTGACGTGGGATCGTCCAAGAGTTGTTTTTCCTTTTGTTTTTTCTTTTTCTTCTGAGGATATCTGAGGTGGTTCGTTTGTGGTGCAAGGTTGTTTTTTGGGGGTGGTGACGGTTTTACTATACCGATTTGGTTGAACATCGACTGGAAAATCCACCAGCTGGCCATTTACCAGCTATCTTCCCTGGCCCCCGCCCTCTCCTCCTCTGCTCCCCATTTCTCGCCCCAAAAAAAGGGCACAAGGAAGGACTTCCCCCTGCCAAACCATCTGCCAAGGAGACTCACCCCAAAAAGGTGATGCTTGCCAGCAAAAAGAAGATTATGCCTCTGTCTTGCTTTAGGGGACCCCCCCTAAAAAAGAAACAAACCAACCATATTTCCTTGTGGCTTCCCTTGACCACCAAAAACATGTCACCGCTGCAAGGTTGGCTCGAACATCCATTTCGCGGCCCAGGCTGCTCTGTGAGGTTGTCCAGGCCGTACTGCTTTAGCAAAGGCTCCAGCTGCTTCCTGCGGACCGAAGACCTTCCCTCAGAAAGGATGGCCCAAGCCTATGGGGGGAAAAAGGGTACAAAGGGTACGTTGTTTTTTTTCTCCGAGAGTCGATTTTTTTCGGGTCGAAGGCTCTTGGATATTCAAAGGGTCTGTTTTGGTGCTTGAACGGGACACCAAAGGGGCAGACTTCCAGTTTGATGGGTGCCTTCAATCATTGAAGGACGCACATTTGGCCAGTGCATCGCAGATTTACAGGTACAGGATCCCGAATCTTTGTAAAGCAGGTGGTGTTTGACGTACGTATCCTTCGGGGAATCATGACAAGCGTCCTTAAATAGTTAATTTCCTTAGTGATCAAAAGGATGGCCTCCGTTTGGACCCCAGTGCCGCCGATACGTGCAGAATATAAAGGGGCGAGGATTTTTGTTGACATTGGCGTGGAGGTTCAGGACTGCAATTTCCCCAAACCGAGGGGTTGCACCCAACGCCTACTGCTTTGGCTCAAAGGGGAACCGGTAAAGAAACTGCCCACAACGGAGCCCTGGCCAAATAAGTTTCCTGGGTCAACTTGGGATATATCTGGGCCACACACAACCCCCCCCTTTTGCGTGGGGGATGGCTTCATTTCGGGGGCCCCGATTCCTATGGTCCGGTCCCAGCCGACTAGACTCGCTCGGGGCGCCTCCTTTCAGCCTTCTCCTCCTCTGTCACCTCCTGTTTCCGCAAGTAGCTGCTGTACCTCGAACCAAACTACGGTTTCAGCCCTTTAGCGGTCTTCACAAGATTAGGGTTTGCAGCCCCCGATGTTTTTGTTGGAATAACTTACTTCACACGCCGGAAACAGCCCAAACATCGGTTGCAAAGGCCCCGCGTCCTACGAAACTGATGGCAGTGCTCGCTCTGAAGCATCATATGAGAGGCTTCTTGAATCCACCGGTAGCCTCTTGGCTTTCCGAAGCACACCAACAGTTGAGGGCCACATTGGGGGGTCCTCCGTTTTAACAACCCACCATACGGAATCTTCCAAAAATGAGGCCTCCTTCAGATTTGAAGCACTTTCACCCACGGAGAAAAAAAAGGAAAAAAAGAAAAGAGTCGACCGTTCGGACTGCAATTCCCGATGCTTACCCAAGGACAGCAGCTTTCTGGGTCACTTGTGTTCGCCATTAGAAAACAGGCAAGAAACAAAGGTGCCCGATCCAATGGCACCTACCACAGGAGCCACCCTCCAACAAAAACAAAGGGAACATGGCTGGTCCCTCGTTTTTGGAGCTGGTACCCCCTTTGATTTGCAGTTTCAAGAGAAACCAAAAGGACGACGGAAGCTATTTTGGTGGGTCCACCAAAAAGCACACACCCAATTAATTGGCTGGATAAATACCACTACTAGTCCATGGTTGTGACCCTTCCTGTGATACCAAAGTGAACCATGCCCAGTAGTACTTCATCACGTTCACACGGATATTACAGAAAGTCGCATGAACAAACCCATGTTCCACAAACATGCCTACTATCATGGGTTGCTCTTGCGCCCTGAGCAAAAGATCGCTCACCTTCTGTAGGCTTTAATGGGGAAGCCAATGGTTTTCAAAAGGTCTCTCCGGGTCGATTCAAAGACCAGCCATGGCGAACCACCTGGGATCTGGGTGACTTTCGGCAATCCCACTCAGGTCTTGGCTCCAGAAAGAGCATGTAACCTCAGCGCCACTAATATCTGGCCACAACTCGCAGGCCTGGAGTTGAGAATGGAATTCTGATCTTGGTCACCTTGAATCATTGCATGTGCCGCTGGGGAAAAAACAAACTCCAAGAACCAAAAACTGGGAAGGGGTTGGTTTGATACCAGCTGGAACCTCCACTTTTTGTTTGGCGTATGACTCCGTCAAACGAAAGACCTTGCATTACACTGCACAAAGCAGTAACTCGATTCCCGAAAAGGAACCCCCAGTAGCCATTGGGAAAAAGAGAAATGACACTCTTCTCAGTGGTCCAAAGGACCCAGAAATAAAAGGTTCACCTTTTGTGGTCATGACAAAAAAGATCAAACATGGGAAACCAAAAGGTCGCAAGGTCGACTCACTTTGGGCAAGTCAGTTTTCTTTGGGTAGTTGGTTTTAAAGGGGCCCACCCCTCCAAGAACAAGCAGAAGGATGCAACCCGCTGGGGAAGCGCAACGGAACTTGGCACCCTTAGCTTGGAGCAAACGCTTTGATTGCTTGGTGACGCTTAATTTCACATTCCCCGCAGTTTGTGTTTTGGCTTGGTGATTTGGACGAATTCGGGGGTGCCTTCCCCATTTGGCTTCAAAGAACGGGGGGTTCCAAATCTCACTGCCAATGTCCAAACCAGCAGAGGGGCAACCTGAGAATTATTGGTGGTTTGCATTGGGCTTAGGCTTTTAGAACCCAAACAAAAGACACCCACCTAACCCCCATGAGACCCGAGCCTGCCCCACCCCGCTAGTGGATGATATTTAGCAGAGAAACCAGGGGCACTGTGTTGGCTGCTCCAAGGCACACCCACCACTGTGGGGGCGTTCCCATAAATGTGCACCAACACCCCTGAAACTTTGGTTGCCATTATTTTGCTTATTAAGTCCCCTGAAAAAGTATTTCCAGAACCATCAGGGGAAAGCAACAAACATTCCTGAGCAAGTTTAAGATCTGCATTCCGCAAATGGTGAACTCTTATTTTCGTTTGGCACAAACATTCGCACAAGCCAACAGCAAAACCTGGCAATAGACGGGATGTGACGACTCAAAAGGGCAGCTGCGCCCATTTCTGGTTGGACTGTGTCCTACCAACCTTCATCTACCCTGGGTACCTTGGTGTTGATAATGGAATCCCCACACCCTGGGAAAAAGTTCCCCCCCTCCCCCTCCCCCCCTCCATAGTACTTTGTTACAAGCCCACCCCAACCTCCTATACACTCACTTCCAGAGTGAACTGGCCAAGCAAAAACTGAACTGTACCACCCAAATGGTCCAAGCCCAAGAAGCGACCAAAGTCCATGAACCCAAATGGTCCAAGCAGTGAGTACACTACTTGGAGGCTGCTTGGCTTGGCACCAAAGCGCCTTCCCCGCAGCTCGCGGCCGCCAGAACTTTGGCTTTTTTCTGCATTAGCCCAGCGCGGCCGCCAGAGCGGTCTGCCAGTAGTCCAGCGCATCCATCTGCAGCTGAGCCTGGTGACCTCCGTGCCGATTCTCCGTCCGTCCGAATCCGACTGGACCCTCCAAATTCCAACTGGAAACATGGGTTCCTGCCCCAAAATTCGGGTTGCAGTGACTCTCTTTTTTTTGCCTTGTTTTTTTTAAAGGGTGGTTTGAGGGTTCAGGTCTTCAATCTTTGGGAGATCCCCTCATTTCCGGCTCAACCCTGTACTTACCCCATATGGGCATGTCCCACAAAAAGACAAAGGTAGGACAGGCAAAGCAGTGGTTCCTTTTGGTTTCCCTTTGACCTGAAAGACGGGTACCCTGGGTTACATGGCTAGAGTATGGCTCAAAGAAACCGTCGAAAGTCGCACAAAACAAAACATGACAGTGGGACAAAATCCAGCACTTTGAAACCATAGGACCCATTTTTTTGGTATTTACCGGGGGAATCGAACCAGTCCAGGGTTTCTTAGGTGGTGCGATTTCAGGATTTCGCAACCATCCACAGTATGGGGGTTGCTCAAAGCAGTGGTCGCGGAAAATGGCTGGCGTCCTTTGATTTCCCTTTTCATCTACTGACCAAAAGCAGGTTCAGCATTTTGAGAAAGACTGTATATAAGTCTCTCGCAAAAAGGAGAAGCATGAAACCATCTTGGGTGACAAATCCAAATGGGATGTCAAAACCTGGTGATCAAATCATGGAAGCCGACGATGAGAGGGCTTGGAAGACGAAAGCTTCCTTTCGGGGAAGCCCCGCTCGTCCCACATCTATGAATCGGACATCCACCCCAAGAAAGACACCCACCCACCCGCACACCGCAGAAAAAACAGACGGGAACACAAACACAATCACATATATATATAAACCTTAAACAATGCAAATAGACCCCAACGAAGGCTGGAACTACTGGACTGAGCTGGGTGGCTGCGCATTGCATCGCTGATGCGCAGTAAGGCCTCATCAGAGATCCTGATCCGCACTTTGCTCTTTCGAGCGAGAAGCAACCGCGTTCAACCACCCACCCTGGACATGGGTCGTAAATTCCACAGTATTCCTTGTTGCCTTGTAATATGTATACATACACATATATATATATATGTATATGTATATAAAAATATATATATGAGCATGAGCATCAACTGTCCTTGGGTAACCAGGTACCCTTCAACAACTGACGATGAAAAAATGGCGAGATCTATGGTGGCAACTGGGACCCACTGGAGTTCCATACGTTGCTTCGCCGTTGGCCAAGCCTATCCTGGCAAAGAGGTCGGCCCCCAAAACGCGGAAGAAAACCACCTGAGTCACTTGCTCAAAACCCGGTATCAAAATGGTCTACCCAGAACCATGTAAAGAATTAAGAAGGCGGCCGCCACTATTTCTGGCTGGGACTGCCCCTTACTAACCTTCATCTACCCAGCCTGAACAGGGTACCCGAAAAAAACAGGAAGCACGAGATGTTGGGACCCACAGTCGAGCCCAATATGAGATGTACAGGCGCTGCCATCGAAGACTTCATGAGATACTTGCAGAAACCACGACTTGTACAGGGAAATGTGTGGTGTGTGTGTGGATTCTTTTACTCCTTACGGGGAGCTGTTCACTGTGTGTATATTTGAGGCTAACCTTGCTGGGGCTTTGATGGGAACAAAGGACACCACTGTTTTTGTTGCCGTATTTTGACAAATATCCATTTACACCACCTAACCACACGGAAACTTTGGGGAACCAAGAAAGCCTTGAAGACTAACATCATGTATTATCAAGTCATTTCGGGTTCCAACAGATTCCCTTGAAGGACTGGTCGGCGCTCAATGCAAGGAATCTGATTGAAGCATTCCCACCAAGCTGGGCCAGACTTACACTCACAAACGAAAGGACAGCCAAAAAAGGAACCGGGTGATTCCAGTTTCCACTATAGTCTGGTAACCGGGTATTTTTACGTCTAGGCGCTATAGTATGGTTTCCCCTGGTTACCTACCATAGTGACATAGTGCCTGGAAGCATCCGGGAAAGCTGGTGAAACGGTTGCCATTCAGCTAGGGATCGTGGCCTTCTCCAGAAGGTCCCGCGCGCTGGAGAAATGCAGCAAGTGAGGCCGGAGCCACCACTCGGTGTACTGCAGCCAGTAGTGCCGCTCCCATCGGAACTGATAGAAGCCTTAGCTTGGTTGCTGTTGACCCCCCTGCAAAAAGTTTAACTTTTTGGGGGGGTTAGTGAAAAACGCCATGATTCTCCCAGAAAGTTAAACTCAAAAGATCCAACCCAATAGCCCTTACTTGAGTCATAGTCAAAACCCGGGTAAACTGGTGGTCCCAGAACCATGCTTCAATGAGGAAGGCGGATGTCTGCAGCTATGTAGGGGATTGTCCCTCGCCTTCTACCCGGGTGAGCACGTGGCTCAGGGGAATTCGAGCCCACTGGTTTGGAGCCCGGCTTGGTAGAGGGGTGATGCCCAGCTACCCTCTGGAACCAGGGCTCAAAATTCAGCCGGGGCAAACCGCTTTTGAGCCACAACCTTTTCCGGGCCTATAGTCCCTAACCAGGCGCCAATTAAAACATGCAAGTCCGAAACCTGAGGGTTACCTATTCGGAATCCACAGGGTGAAGGAAAATCATGACAGTCCCTACATCTCTGCAGATTAACATGGAAACCCCCCAATTTGTAGGCTGCAAAAAGTTTCGAGTGCACCTCATGTTCATCAGCGGATTGAAGTAATATAAGGGCCAACAAACATACACACACACACTCAATTCTCTGAGGCACTCTGGTTCCAAAGAACCAATGAATGCTCTAGTATCGCAAGTAAACCAACCGCAGCAACCCCCAAAACCAAGGTCAATTTGGTGAATTCCGGCGTTCCCTTGTCCCCCTTGCAACATTTTTCAGGCATCCGCCGTACTTCCCGCCGAGTTGCGCCTCCCCGCGATTTGAAAGTCCAGCGGCGAGGGGCGACTCGACCCGGCCGATGGCTTTGGCTCGGCCATTCGCGGAGGGCGAGCCTTGCTCAGCAAAGGCAGCGGGTCGTCTGGCCAGACGAACTTGTGGATCAGCGGTTCCTTGGAGGGACTGGACGTCCGACCACCCGACTTGGCAAGTGGCTAGTGTCCCCAAATAATAAGTCCCTCATCAAGTGTCCTTTTGGCGAGAGGAAGTGCCAGCCCAAAGCCCCATTGAATCACCATGTTGGATCTTCTTTCAATAGGGAATTCCAACTTGGCAAAGAAGGGCCAGTCAGTCACTTCCTGAGTGGATTGGCCACAAAAAGCAAGCAAACTCAGACTCAAAAAGTGACTAGAGTCCGAAACGGAACTCGGGAAGTGAGTTGCAACCTCCCAAAGAAACCCCACCGCCACCAGTAAAACCAGCCCAGGCTCGGAGGGCAGAAACAAAGGCACTGCCATGGCGTAGACATCCGCCAAGCGCAGGGCGTTGGGGATGTGCGGCAGCATGGCCACCGCGCGGAAGGAGGCGATCTCAGCCTCAAATCAGACTGAGGGGCATGTGGACAACCAAGGATTGTACGGCAATGAGCGGTTTTGGGACCCAGGGTTATAACCTAGTTCGCCTCGGCCCCAAAGGGGCCAAGGGCGCTCAGATCTCTTCTCCAAAGAGAATCTTCGCTTTCCCCTCCCCAACCAAAACGGCCCGCCCCCCCCCCACCCATGTCGGCTGGCCCAAAATCCTGTCCGGCGGGCCTTGAAATTTTCGGGGTTCGTCGGCGTCCAGCTCCATGGGTCCATTTTTGTCGAAAATGTGCTGACAATTGCGAAAGCACGAAATTCCTTTTTTGTCCTGAAAAGCATGACTGGCCAGGCCTGTCTGACGTGTCTGAGACTAGGCTCAGGCCCAGCCCAACCAGCAACCCGCCTGCTGGCCAGGCCTGTCAGCCCAGCCCACCCGCCTCAGGCCCAAGCTTGTCTGCACGGCCCCAAGTCATCCAGCAAGCCCAGCCCAGCCTGCCCAGCCCAGGCCCCGGCGCATCTCAGGGCATGCCAGTTACTAGGCCGGCCCAGTCCCTCAGCCCGCCTGCTGGCGTGTCTTACGTGTCTGCGACTGGCCTCAGGCCCAGCCCAGCCAGCAACTTGCCACCCAGCCTGAGGCCCAAGTGTGTATGAAACAGGCCTTGCTAATCTGGCAACCCGCCCAAGCCAGCCCAGGCCGGCCCAAGTTCCAGGCGCAACTGAGACTAGCTTCAGGCCCAGCCCAACTGCCCAGCCCAGGCCCGGCGCATCTCAGGGCATGCCCCAGCTCCCAGCCCACCAAGGTCAGGTTTGTCTAACGTGTCTCAAACTGGCTCTGAGACTGGAGCCAGTCTGAGACTGATTTCAAGGTATGCCAGCCTGAGACTAGCCTCAGGCCCAGTCCCTCAGCCCGCCTGCTGGCGTGTCTTACGTGTCTGCGACTGGCCTCAGGCCCAGCCCAGCCGCCCAAGCACATGGCTTCGCAGCCTCGTGGCTGAGACTAGCTTCAGGCCCAGCCCAACCAGCAAGTTTGAGACTCGCACACCTTGCTGGGCTCAACTAGCGTCTAGCCCAGCCCAGTCCGCCTGCTGGCCAGGCCTGTCTGACGTGTCTGAAAGTGGCCTCAGGCCCAGCCCAGCCATAGCCCAGCCCCCTCAGTGCGGCTGCCCAGCCCGCCGTAAACTAGCTTCAAGCCCAGCTCAACCAACAACCCACGCAAGCAAGGTCCAGCCAAGCTGCCCGAGACTAGCTTCAGGCCCAGCGCAGGCTTATCTGATGTGTCTGAGACTAGCCTGTGGCCCAGCCCAACCAGGCGAGGCCGGCTTGTCTGACTTGTCTGGAGCCAGCTTCAGCTTCAGGTATTCGGACCTTCCCAACACTGGATTTCGGTGTTCCTGACCCTTCCCTCAAACTAGGCTGGGCCGAGGCGGGCAACGAAGCGTTTAGAATTAAATGGGTTGACCACTCCCCCTTAACACCGGTAAGGCGACCGCAGATGTCTTGTCTGCTGGTTGATTGGTCCATGCCTGTTCCGCTGGACCCGATGACTATGAAGGCTTGTAGGCCTTGCTACAATCGCCATTTGGCCACGTGGCGGACCCGCCTACCAAAATGCCCAATGCTGGCTTTGGACGCAGCTCAGACGCTGACCAGAGGGGGGCCCTTGCAAACTAACAGTGACTCTACGTGGCTATTTGGGGCCATTGAGGACTATGACGGGATACTACGGGTGACCCTTGGCCTTCTATCCTCCGATCAAAGTCATTTGCCGCTATGGTGTCGGGAACTTTGGGTGGGGTGGTAGGTTCGGGATTCATCCTCTAACTACCTCCAACCTCCCATGGGTGTTTCTTCAAAGTAACCCGGGTTCCACCTAAGGGAAAAGAGGATGGGAGGTTTCTCGACCGGCATACCAGCCAAAGCAAGCGTTGCTGTTCGAAGCCCCTAAAACAGAGCCAACCAAAGCCGCATAAACTCCCACGCCCAAATGGCCAGGAAATTGAAGGTTTTGGGACCTCAACTAAACCAGGACATGTTGAGACTAAACATCAAAGCAGCCAGAAACAACAACAAGCACACACAATTACACAAGCATGAATCTAAAATAGTAAGGTAAAGCAACGTTTCTTCTCTGCGCCGCAATCTAAAGATGGCCAAACTGGGTGACGTTGAAATAAATCGCCACAAAAAGAAAATACTGTGAGGGGAAAAGTCAAACAGCCATGTAACTTCATGTTTGCATTTCATGAACCTTAAACTGCAACAGGAAGAAATAATGTTCCCTGTTTCCCCCCCCCCGCGCCCTTTCCGCCAGCCAAAAAGCACATATTGAGTAAGCCTTGACATGTAAAAACTCCTGAACACTCAACTAAGCCCAGCCGATATCCCCAAAAACTGGGCCCCGAAATGTCCCGCCTAGACCCCCCGCAAAACGCCCGGAGCCGGGCAGATCACGGGCGAGCTGCAAAGCTCATTGGCTTCATCATGATGTCCACGAGCTGCTGTCGCATCTCGGCCTTGGGTCCAGAGCATCCACCAAAATGATCCTCGTGCAACTCGTCTGTTTAGTGAATACCTTCTTCGGGGTCACCTTGAAGGGAAACCCAAAAAGAACACCACCAGGTTCCAAAAGTTGAGACATCCCCAAATGGTGGGTTGAAACGGAGACCATTTAAGAACAACATCTTCCACTGCCAAAAAACATTTGAAGGGAAACAGGTCCCAAAAGGAGCTGGGGCCCCGACCCCCCGAATCTGTTTGGTCACAATCGGGGCGCCTCGATCAGGCGCAGCACGCGCAAGAAGGGGGCACCACCCGGCAGCGAGGACCGAAAAAAGAGCAGCTTGGGCTTGCTTGGCTGGTAGCCTCGCAAGAAACCAATTCGTCCATTTGCGATGTCTTGTTGGCTTTGCCTGGATTCCAGAGAGGAAATCCAGTGTCCCAATTTTACTTGCGTAAGCCCCCTGGAAAGCATATGTCCAGTAGTGATAGATTTCCTTTAAACCCAACAGGCGAACATTCAACAAAAACTCTTAAGCAAATGCAGAACCCGTTTCTTGGAACCGTTTTTTTGCGAGTCTGAGCGGTCTGGATTCCCAAGCGAGTCGCGGGTGTCGATGTGTAGAGAGAGACAAGGCACATACGGCGCTCTGATGCCGGCCTGCCAGTCAAGCATCTCCGCAGTGATGCGGGAAGTTGCGCTCAGCAACTCCGTCTGTTTGAAGGCTGGAACCAGCTCCTACCGAGGATCTGGACAATGGTAATCGTCTTTGGGGTCCTTTCAGGATCCGAACAAAGCAAAGAAGCAAGCAGGCAGGCAGGCAGGCAGGCAGGCAAGAAAGCAAGCAAGAAAGCAAGCAAGAAATCAAGCAAGAAATCAAGCAAGCAAAGAACCGACCAGCAAACAAAGGGACAATCCAACCAGCTGACCGCTGACCGACCGTCCGGCCAACCAGCCAGCCAACCAGCCAGCCAAACGCAACGAAGCAAACAAAATAGAGAGGCAGACCCAGGCAGGCAAGCAATCAATCAAGCCAGCAAGCAAACAACCAAAGCAAACAGACACACAAACAAACAAACAAAAAACAAACAAACAAAAAACAAACAAAATACAAACAAACAAACAAACAAACAAACAAACAAACAAACAAACAAACAAACACACAAACGAACAAACAAACAAACAAACAAACAAACAAAGAAAGAAAGAAAGAAAGAAATAAAGAAAGGAAGAAAGAAAGAAAGAAAGAAACAAACAAACAAACAAACACACAAACAAACAAACAAACAAACAAACAAACAAACAAACAGACAGACAGACAAGCAAGCAAGCAAGCAAGCAAGCAAGCAAGCAAGCAAGCAAGCAAGCAAGCAAGCAAGCAAGCAAGCAAGCAAGCAAGCAAGCAAGCAAGCAAAAAGTTGTGTTTGCGGTTGTGTTCGTGTTTGTGTTTGTGGTTGTGTTTGTGTTTGGGTTTGTGTTTGTGTTTGTGTTTGTGCTTGTGCTTGTGCTTGTGCTTGTGCTTGTGTTTGTGTTTGTGTGTGTGTGTTTGTGTTTGTGCTTGTGTTTGTGTTTGTGTGTGTTTGTGTGTTTGTGTTTGTGTTTGTGCTTGTGTGTGTTAGTGTTAACTGTTAGTGTTAGTGCTTGTGCTTGTGCTTGCGTTTGTGTGTGTGTTTGGGTTTGTGTTTGTGTGTGTTTGTGTTTGTGCTTGTGTTTGTGTGTTTGTGTGTTTGTGTTTGTGCTTGCGTTTGTGCTTGCGTGTGTGTCAGTGTTAGTGTTAGTGTTAGTGTTAGTGTTAGTGATTGTGTTTGCGCTTGTGCTTGTGTTTGTGTTTGTGTTTGGGTAGAACACAACCCGCCAACCAGCAAACAATCACAAATAAACAAGCTAAGAACACACACACACACACACTCGCGCCCCCCAACAATTAAAACAAGCAGCAACATAGGAAAACTAAACAAACTAACAAAACACACAAGCCACAAAAAAATGAAAACAAAGCAACATAGGAAAACAGATACCCAACTTGCACAGCTAAAGGCTCCCAAAAGGCGTCGACCTCTTGAAGCCCGAAGACTTGATCGAAGTCCACCAGCAAGCACATGACTCCTTAGTGAAATACTACCAAAAAACTCAAACTACATATATATATATATAATACAATCATGTATACTATGTATATATACATATATATATATATACATCTATATATATATATATACATATATAATACATACGTATAAAACAGGAATTCGCCAGCAACTTGGGGCCACAACCCGTTCTTCAGGGAATTTGGAGGGTAGACTTGCACCAGCTTGCCTTCATGTCGGGCTCATTTTGACTGCGAATACCTGCTAACTTGCCCCAGGAACCTGACAGGGTTGAGGTTGGTCACAAAAACGAGACTTTTGGGTACCTGACCATTAATTAAAAAAAAAGAAGACTGACAACCACTTACTAAGCGACTAAAAACTAAAGTGTTTCAAGTTTGCTGTACCTGGAGTCTCCTTCCACCCCTTAGAAATCGGGTGGCCCCTTCTTTTTTGAGTAATGACCCCATATTGCAAGGGTCACGACTCTAGGTAAGCGCAAGCGGCTCTGCTAGTGGAAGTGTGGTGCACGGAAGGACGTGTGGTGCAGTGGCGCACCCTTTCCCTTTTACCTCCCAGCGCTCCCCACAGACCTTAGAAAGACTGTAGTTTCAGGAACCCAAGCCCCGCCCCGAAGACCCCCCCAACCGGTATTTAGCCGCACTTGGACTTGCCCAATCGCTCACTTCCCAACTCCATAGCCTCACTCACTCCCTCGCTCGGCTCCCTTGCTCCCTCGCTCACAACCTGGCTTACTCGCTACCTCACTCCCTCGCTTACCCGGCTCCCAAGCTCGCTTGCTCCCTAGCGAACGCGTCGCTCGCTCTCGTTCTCTTTTCGTGCTTTTCTTAAAGCTTCGAGGACCTGCGCAGCCGCTTGCGGCATCTCCGGCAGGCTGGGGAATCGATGTAGGCTGTCAGTTTACTGGCTCGGAGAAACTACAGGACAGGCTGGCGATGAAGAAAGCCGCATACGGCACGCAAGCCATGCGGTCAAGGGTTTAGGTCAATGCGTGGAGCGTGGCTTTGCAACACCCACGTTCAGGCCACCACAGTTCTGGGGCGTGCCAGCGGGCTTTGTCAACGCCACCCTGAAGGCGTGTTGCCTGAGGATTCCCCACTTCTCGGTTGACGGCTATGAGTTGGAAGAACAGCCACGTGTCAGCTTGACATATGACGCATTGGTCTGCCAGGCAGAGTCCCTTGAGCCATGAGCTTTGCACGGCGCGCTCTGTCGGCTCTTGGGCTGCTCTGACGAGAAGTGCGCGTCTCGTGCACGGCATGGTGCCTTTTGCGCACTCCCAAGAGAGGCAGGAATCACGGCCAGCTTTCCACCAAGCACAACACTCCTTTTCAGGGCATTGTCTGCAACCCTTGTGCCGCAAGCTTCACAATTACTTTCCAGGCTAAAAAGCCCGGCGTGCGGTGGCCCCTGCAGGCAATGATATGCAGTCTCAGTGCTAGCTAAGGCTAGTGAAGCAATGTAGCACTCCTCCTACAAGCGCTGAAGCAAATGCTAGACCACGACTGCATCGTTGAAGTGAATTTCAACGTGCGCCAGACTTGACAGATTGCTGCAACACAAGGCCTCCGCGCAGCTCTGGGCAGAGCCAAGCTGGTTGGGTGCAACGGCGCTGTGCTTTGCTCAAGTCGGAACATGATGCCATCCGTGCCATCTGACACTCCTCCTGCAAGCTTGAACACATCCCATTCCAATCAACCTCTTGCGAGCTACCTTGCGCCCCCAGCCACTTGAGCAAACGGTAGACGACGACTTCTGCACCTCTCAACGCACGCAAGCCTCTGATTTCGGAAGCCGCGACCTGCGCCCTCGATCGCCAAGAGGTATCAACGCAAATCGCCGGGCCGGCAAGCTCTAGGAGGGGGGCTTAAGCCTGTTGTAAGGGCCATCGCTTTGGGCATACAGAAACTAGTGCGTGCGTCGGCAGAGCACATTTCGGTTAGCTTCACCTTCGCTAGTGCTCAAAATTGCCAAACAGTCAGACTCAGACAGTTTGGATGTGGTGCTGCCGGTGCTGCCGCAGGGAAAGGCTTCAAACGAAATGGCAACTGTCTCTGCTAACCACAGCAGCAATCTCAAACTGCGACTTGCGATGAAGTTCTGGGCACAGCCAAATCAAAGTGGCTGGGCGCAAGCGCCGCTGTGTGAGTTGCTCAAATCAATCCGCATTGAACAAGGTCATATATGTTGTCAACTTTGAATAAGACATTGGTGCGACCGCGCAAAGCAGCATTTAGGGAGATCTACGCTGCTATGTGGCACTTTCCGTGCAGTTGTGGCTTGTGTCGGCTAAGAACATTTCGGGATCGAAAGTGGGACATTCTGAGAAAGGGACAACGCAAGGAGTCGGCGCACTGGTAGTGATGCAAAAATTCTGAAGGCGAGCCCATCTGGCAACATCAGCTTCACAAAAATGGCGCACAGCCTATTGCGCGAGGTGTCTGCACCGCTACCTGGCACCGAGGATTGAGCCACCCCCCCGCTCCCAGTGCTCCCAGTGCTCCCAGTGCTCCACAGGACAGCCCATCAGCAGTGTGTTTCCTATCTGGAACTTCCAACAGGACTCGCTGGGGCATGTCTTTAGAAACGCGCCCCGCAACAGAATCGCTCCAACTGCGCCAGCGGATTTCCTGGCAACGTCAGCCAAGGAAAGCGTGCCCCGTCCACATCGCTGAGTGTAAGATCAGTCCGGCTCCAAAAGCCAAGGCAAGCGATGCTCAATATGGTTAGAAGGTTTCTATGGCGCACAAGTACAAAGATGTGGCGCTGCCGGTGCTGCAAGGCAAGGCATGCGCAAAAGGTGCGAGCACAACTGCAGGCCAGTACTGTGCAACAGCAGTCTCATGTCACGCTGTTGGTCCAACGGCTTTGTTTGCTCAAGTCGAAACATGCCATCCGTGCCATCTGACACTCCTCCTGCAAGCTTGAACACATCCCATTCCAATCAACCTCTTGCGAGCTACCTTGTTGTGAAAGCAGCCACGGGAGCTCATGCTAGACCAAGAAAGACTGCATCCAACGCGAAGCGAACCCGCCTTGAAAGCATAGTTGCTGGGAAGTTGCGGCTCCAACTCAAAAGGTGTGCGCGCATGCGCAGGCCGGCAGTACTGTGCCCGTCAACCACTGCAGCAATCTCAAGCTGCAACTTGCCATAAAGTTCCGGGCACAGCCAAAGTAGTTGGGCCCAAGCGCTGTGTGACCTGCTCAAGTCAAGCCGCATTGAACAACTGACTGAAACATGGGCGCGACCTCGCAAAGCAGCATTTAGGGAGAACTACGCCGCTATGCCACATGCTCCTGCCGGTATAGAATGCACTTTCCGCGCAGCTGTGACTTGTGCCGGCTGAGCACATTTCGGGGTCGAACATTCTAAACGGAACAAAGTTGCGGAGCTCCCGTCGCAACACAACGCATCCAACTCAACATGCGTAGGTCAGCAGGCCTGTGTCTACCAGCCGTGGCAGCAGTCCGAAGCTTAAGCTTGCCACCACGTTCTGGGCACAGCCAAGCTTGCTGGTCCGAACGGCCCCGTGCTTTTCTCAAGTCAATGCAACACGCCGCTCCTTATGCTGCCATCCAACACTCCTGCAGGGCTGAACATATTCCATTCCAAGCATGCGAGCGAAGACAGCCACTAGTCAAGTGTTCGACCAAGATTGCATCTTTGAATTGAACCCCAGCACGGGGCCAGCCTCGAAAGCGCGAGGGCTAAAAAGTTGCGGCGCTGCAAAACAGGTCATGCAACTCAAAAGGTGTGAGCGCATGCGCAGGTCAGTAGTACTGTGTCTACCAGCCGCAGCAGTCCGAAGCTGAAGATTTTCGTGAAGTTCTGGGCACAGCCAAACCGGTTGGGTCCAACGGCTTCGTGCTTTTCTCACGTCAACGCACTGTGATGCGCAGCAATCAGTTTATCCCTTGGAATCTTGAAGGTCCTGGCAGAAGAAACGTTGGCAACCTCCTTGGGAAGGGACCACTTTGCAAATTAGTTGGATGTGAATCCTGCAAAAAGAAGTGTGCTGTAGACATCAGCCTCCTGCATTCGGGCATGAATAAGGTCTTGGGCAAAGGAAAAGCAGCTGTTTGCCATGCCCAAACGAAATGAAGACCCAGCGTGCAACCTGCGCTGTCCATCCGAGTCCATGCTACTGACAGAAGCCTGAGCCTAATCCTACATCGAGTGCAACCAGCTGGGAGTCTGAAGAGCTCGCGGGTCTCAGCCTGTTCGCGGGGCTGAAGGCTCAAAGTCACGCCGGAATTGAGTCATTTTGATCAAGTCATGGGGCTGTCTTACTTTTGGTATCGCAGAAAGGGCGACTTTCAACAACTGGCGAAAACTGCAGGCGTGAAGCGGTTGCTTTTTGTGCAAAACCCCGCAGGCAAAGGAAATGGAACTCGAGGATTAGTAAACCCCTAGTTTATCGAACCCAGAGTTTGTTGCGAACGGGGAGAGCTATTCCAAATCACTGCCATCCGAGCAGCGCCTGTGCCCTCTGAATTGACGCCGCATGTCTGGCGTTATTGCGAAGCTTGCCCAAAATGCAATCTCCGAAGCCAGCCACCGAAGCGAACGCTTGAAGTGACTCCCAATACGCACCAAGAATGGACATTGTGCGGCGCCGTCGCTGCAAAACAAGGCATGCCACGACGTTCTGGGCGCAGCCAAGCTGGTTGGGCCCAACGTCCCCGTGCTTTTCTCAAGTCAAGGCAACACGCCGCTCCTTATGATGCCATCGAACACTCCTGCAAGCCTGAAAATATCCAATTCCAAGCGACCTCTTGCGAGCGAAGACAGCCACTAATCAAGACCAGAACTGCATCTCTGAATTGCACCCCAACGCGAGCCAGCCTTGAAAGCGTGAGGGCTAAAAAGTTGCGGCGCTGCAAAACAAGGCATGCAACTCAAAAGGTGTGAGCGCATCCGCAGGTCAGTAGTACCGCGTCTACCGGTCGCAGCAGCACTCCGAAGCTGAAGCTTGCAACGAAGTTCTGAGCGCAGCCAACCCGGTTGGGTCCAACGGCTCTGTGCTTCTCTTAAGTCAAGGCAACACGCCGCTCCTTATGCTGCCATCTAACACTCCTGCAAGCCTGAAAATATTCCATTCCAAGCATGCGAGCGAAGACAGCCACTAATCAAGCGCTAGACCAGAACTGCATCTCTGAATTGCACCCCAACGCGAGCCAGCCTCGAAAGCGTGAGGGCTAAAAAGTTGCGGCGCTGCGAAACAAGGCATCCAACTCAAAGGGTGTGAGCGCATGCGCAGGTCAGCAGTACTGCGACTACCAGCCGCAGCAGCAGTTCGAAGCTGAAGCTTGCCACGACGTTCTGGGCACGGCCAAGCTGGTTGGGTCCAACGGCTCTGTGCTTCTCTTAAATCAAGGCAACACGCCGCTCGTCATGATTAGAGGGGATCTAAACGGGATCAAATCAAACAAAGGCTATCATACCTGCGGCGGCGTTCTATGCAACATGCCTCAGTTTGCACAATGCTGGCTTCCCTCGTGCAATAAGGAGTCGATGAGGCGTGTTTCGGCAAGATGCAGCAGTTGGCAGCAGCGTGATACAACTTGCCGAAGTTTGCCTAATTTTGCTTTACCCTTGGCACCAGTTCATGTGATCCTGTTGAGGTCCCTCTGACACTTCTCGTGCAAGCCTGAAATCTCCCATTGCAAGCGACCTGCTGCGAGGGAAGCTGTGACGCTAGTGCCTGCGAGCACTCTGTTTGCCCGCAGTAGCTGTCCAAAGCTGAAGCTTGCCGCGGCGTTCTGGGCGCAGCAAGCTGGTTGCGCCCAAAGGCTCCGCGCAGCAAGCTGGTTGCGCCCAAAGGCTCCGCGCTTGGCTGTAATGAGAATCTCTCTTTCGGGCGAACTTGTTGGGAAGTCTGACTTGCGATGGTCAACGTTGGTGCCTGCGAGCACTGTGTTTGCCAGCCACAGTAGCTGTCCAAATTGCTCAAGACAAGGCAACATGGGGATTCTCAATTGCCCAAAACTGCAGTGTCCTCAGGAGAGATGCTACAAGTCACCCACTTCGACCGACATCAAACAGTATGCGGCTCCGAGCCCTGTAATTCAAGCGAGCACCGACGCGTTGCGGGAAGACAGTCAGGATTTCAGGGGCCATTGGGAATTTGTGACGCTTTCTGTTTCGGGCGAACTGGCCAGGAAGTCTGACTTGAGATGATCACTCAGTGCCAGCAAGTCTACGCCTTCTGTCATGGAAGCTGGTGAATGGTTGGCACCCAGCTCATTGAACCAGGTGAATGGTTGGCACACAGCTCAGGCGCCGGGCAAACATGTCTTGAACCAACAAGCACGCGCTTAATCAAGTGAAAGGGGCTCGTCTGGCTTCACTTCCGCATGTTGGGACCCACGACTCTCCAAGTCCAGGTATGGCATGTTCGAATGACAAAGGCTACTAAGCTAATACATCGGCTTGAGCAATCCAACGTCAACAGCCCCGAATCTTCGGGCGCCGAGTTTGCTTGCATGTACTTGACCGTGGGCTTAAGCATGATACAAACTGCATATAACAATTTGAATGGGGTGACGTTGGTGAAGGTTCATCACCAACCTCAGGCGAAGCCGCGACACAGGAACAGAAGATAATATCAACTACAATAATGACAATATATATATATATATTTTGGCTCCAGTCCCCCAGTGATTGAATTGTCACACATAATTACCCATATGTTAGACATTGTTTTTGAATATCCTAAAGAATCAAATGATATATGTAACGAGTATCCAGTTGTGAGGGGGCTTTGGGGGGGGGGGGGGTGGTCTGCAAGGTCAGTGGCAGATGGTGCGGGAGCACGTGGTAAATTACCTGCAACTTAAGATGGAACCCCAAAAAGCAGTTCTAGTGGACATGGGGATCCCCTTCGGTTTCCATGCTTTGACAATTCACTTCTAGCCCTTGAAACCAGGGTTGCTTGCCACTTAGCTAACCCCGAACTCCATCCAAGTACCCTGGTTTTCTTGTTGCCTTGGCAAATGGACCTGGGATGTCTCTCGAGAATCAAGATCCAATCAAGTCAGCATTGTTTACCACTGGGAAAGCACAAAATGGGGGCGGTGCCTTGTCTTGGCCCATCTGGGGCACACAGAAAATAATATGTTCTGTGTTCCTTCCATATTTAGTTTATGTATATATATATATACATATTATTGGGATCGAAGATCACCCCAAGGGTGCCTACTGCTCATACAAAGAAGCAACGCGAACTGTTTTGTCCATCACTGGATTCAGGGATATATCTGTTCCGCGCAATGGGATTCGCCCGAATTGGTTGAACAAGCATCAACCCCCTTTTCGGGGTCTCTCTCAAGTGCCAAATTGGTCAAAGTGGTCCGAAAGGTGATGTTTCAATCGCTGCGAAAAGAGGGGACTTTGGTTCTTGGGGCAAAGAATCCCAACCTTGAATCTCCAAAACACAAGAATCCCAACCTTGGTTCTCCAAAACACACACACAGACAGAGAAAGCAAACACAATCAACCCCCCCCCCAATTGTTTGTCGCCGCGGCGCGTCCCGCCGCGCTGGCGCGCGTGAGCTGAATCCGTTGCCGGGCTTCCAAGGCAGAGTGGAGCAAGACACAGAGCCACAAAGGCTCGCTGCAAATCACCAGATCCGAAGATCTCAGAAAGACCTTAGGGGAAGCGTCCAAACGCCCAGGGAAACAGCTGGTGTTTGAAAAGAAGCCTTCATTTCAGAGAACCAGCCAACAGCCAATGGAACCACTTGGTTTTTGAAAAGAACGATGGGGAACCGAAGCCTCAGGAAAGGTTTGGAAGGAACCTTAGGGGTTCTGAAGACCGGGCTAAATATCATGGCGCTGAGCGAGGAGCGCACGACCGAGATCAAGACCATGACCTTCAACGGACAAGAGGTCGCGGTCGAATACCAGAGTGGCCTCGCCTACCGGTTCGAGGGCAGCTTTTACGACAACCAGTTCAGGGAACTGTATGTCGAATTGAACGCCGAGGTATTCACTTCGATCCAGACAGAGGCGTTCGACGCGGACGGCAATCCGCTTCTGACGTCCTTCGGATACCAACAGATGCTCGAGGTCGCGGGACAAGCTCACGACTACGGAATCGAAGAATTCTCCATGGCGTTCGAATACATGATCGATATTCAGAGAAATGATTTCGGATCTTACGAAATGACGATTTCGGTCATGTTCGAAGGTGAAATCATCGACATGAACGGAATTGGTCGCGAGTTCCTGTTCGAAGACGAAACGATGTTCCTGTTCTCCGATCTCGATCAGATCAGTTTCGACCAGCTGCCGCAGGGCTTCGACGACGAAATCGCCCGTTTCGCCGCAAACATGGGCGATGCGTGGGATGCGTTCGGTTCCGTAAACGACCAGATTGAGGCCGTTCTCCTGAAACTCCGGGAAGAGGGACATTACCAGGCCTGGGACGACGCGGACCAGGGCCTGAACGACCCGTTCGATTTCAACCTGCCAACTGTCGACCCGTTTTCCTGATGAGGGCCGTCAGCCTCTCGAAAACGATCGATCCCAACGAAACCGGAAAATGCCTCCTCCGTCTGCCCGAACGGAGGAGGTTCCGCTGTTCGTGTCTTGATTTTGCCGCGCTCTTCCGCTCAAGTGATTTGCATTGCAAAACAGTCTCTTGATGCGCCATGCGCCCAAAAGAGAAACATTCGCTGGAGCATTCGATGGATCGCCAATTCCGCACGCGCACGCAAGTTTCCCGCAGGTTCAAGGCAACGTGCCGGAGTTTCCTTGTCGCCGTCGCAGCCATCGGCCTTGCAGCCTGCCAGCAGCAGTTTCAGACCCCTTCCGATCTCCTGTTTGCACCCACATTCAACAAGACCCGGCAGAACCTGCCCTATACGCAGAATACCCAGTACGACTGCCGCAACTTTTCCGGGACCGGCTGGAAGGGAATTGCAAGTGGCGTTGTTTACGATTTCAGCAATCGATACCAGATCTCCCAGGCCGGCTGCTTCAAAACACAACAGGTGTGTCAGGCCTGGCTCTCGGTCATGCGGTCCTATATCGATGTTCCACGCTTCATCAGGTGCAACCCCCATACAGCCTAGGGCGTTTTCAGAGCGGAACACCGCCCTGCAGCACCTTGCGTGCGGCCATGAAAGCTTCGATGTGATCGCAAAGGCATTTTGCACGCGCACTCAACAATCGTCCGGTCGGCCAGACCAGATAGGCATTGCGCAACTGTCCGGTCCATGTTGGCAGCACGATCCGGAGACGACCGGCATCGATTGCGGAAGACGTTTCGGTGACCGGCAATAGCGCAATCCCGTGACCATCGGCAACGAATTGTCGTGCCAACGTTATGTCGTCAACGGCTATATCCGCGTTGAGGTAAATCGTTTCCTCCGAGGCCGTTCCGGTATTCCTTAGCTGCCAGTGCGGAAGCGACGAGACCCAGATCAGCTTGTGGTGGCGTAAATCGTCCAGCTCCTTCGGCTCTCCATTTTCCGTCAGATACTTCGGCGCGGCCACCATCATGGTGGCAACGCTGCCGATCCGCTTCTGGTAAAGTGCCGGATCCGATTGCGCGCCGAAACGAAGCGCCAGATCGAACCGGTTCTCCCTGAGATCCCGGTTATCGTTGCTCAGGCCGAGAGAAAGCCTGATTTCGGGATGTTGTTTCACGAAATCCGACCACATCGGTGACAATATGCCTATGGAGGCATTTGTCGGTGCGGCGACACGCAAGGGCCCGCGAATTTTGTGCAGATCCGCATTCAGGCCTTCCAGCGTGTTTTCAGCCTGAAACATCAGCTCGGCAAGCGACCGGTAATAGGCTTCGCCTTCCGATGTCAGGGTAAACTTTCGGGCTGATCTGTGCACCAGCCTGACGCCAAGCGTTTCTTCAAGCCGCTTCAACCGCCGGGTGACCGTGGCAGCCGGAACGTTCAGCCTGCCTGCTGCAGCTGAAAGGCTCCGGCACTGGGCAATGTGAACAAACAGTGAGATATCGTCCAGCATGATTTCATTTTCGGAATTTAAACTCTCTATTTTTGATATAGATTGATGAAATAGAAATCAATAGATCTCCCATGATCCCACAAGCAAGGAGAGATCAATGCCTGGATATTTCATCAGCGCCGGAATCGAACTCAAGGACGGTGCGAATCTCGACAAGGCAGAACAAGGCCTTCGCCTCCTGACGGAACAGACCCGGAGTGAACCCGGCTGCATTTTTTTTGAAATTCGCCAGAACCTAAAGGAGCCTGGAAAATTCACGCTCTGGGAATGCTGGACGGACAAACAGGCGCTTGCCGATCATTTCGAGGCTGATCACACGAAAGCCTATCTCGCGCAGGACCTGACCGAGGTGAACTATATCGAGGAACTCACCGAAATCGGCGAGACCTCAGGTGCGATTTCAAGCTGAGACAGCCATGAAACACAGGCTGATTTCCACTTTTTTCATGTCGTTCGGCCTGTCTTTCGTGATGTCCTGCTGGGTGACTTTTCTCAATCTTGGCTGGAGCGACGCCTTCCTGGGCCAATGGATGGAGGCATTTCGTCTGGCGTGGCCGGCCGCAGCCATTGCCGCCTTCTTTCTCAGCCCGGTCGTTCAGAAAATTACCGGCATCTTCGCAAAGTACCTGCCCTGATACCTTGGAGCATCAATGACCATTTCACGCCAAAACTTCGAAGACCTGGGAATGCCCGTCGGTCCCTATACACACGCGGTTCGTCATGAAAACACAATCTTCACGTCTGGTTTCACCGCGTTTGGAACGCAGGCTCAGGCAGCATCGGCAGAGGAGCAGACGCACGCAACTCTTTCGCAGCTGAGTTTTCTCGCAGGGCAGTACGGCAAAACACTCTCGGACCTTGTCAAGGTCACCGTGTTTGTTACCGATCCATCCGACATTCCCGGCATTCGCCATGCCCTTACGGAAGCATATGGCAAAAACGTGCCTGCCAGTTCGCTGGTGATGGTCGCAGGCCTGTTTTCTCCGGATTTGCGTGTCGAAATGGAGGCCATCTTCGGACTGTGAGGCAGCCAACGGCGTCCTGTCGTTGACAGCAGCCGCCAGTCGCAAGCCTTTCAGACCCTAGAGGGCTTTTCGAAAGAACACAGTCTCGCGGATCGGCGTCTTGTAATAGGCGGGTATTTCCTCGAAGCCGGCAGCTTTGTAGAGCTTTATCGCACCGGTCATCGTCGGCAGCGTATCGAGCAGCATCTCGCGATAGCCGGTTTCAACCGCGGTTTCCAGAATTTGGGAAACGAGAGTTGCGCCGACACCCTTACCGCGACCGGCCGGCAAAACGTAAAGCCGCTTCATCTCGCATCTGCCATCTTCATCGAAGGCTCTTAGACCGACGCATCCCAAGACATTGCCCCCAGAGTCCTTCGCGACAAAGAGCGCACCCTTCGGCGGTGCATACTTGCCTGGCATCCCTTCAAGCTCTTCTTCGAAACCCTGATAGGACAAGTCGATGTCCAGCCAGTCGACATAGGCCCGGAACAGGACCTTGACAGCCTCAAGGTCTGGACCCGTTTCAACAGATGTGATGGTGACGCTTTTATCGAATGTCATCGGACCTCGATAATCCGGGACAATTCAGCTGTCAATTTGCTGTCGGAGCGACGACCGGAATCGCCTTGAGATAAGCCGCAATCGCTTCCCGGTCACTTGCAGGAAGCCGGGCCATGTTTTCCTGGACCTTGACCATCTCCCCGCCGACGGAATCATATTCCGGCGTGAACCCGCTCTCCAGATAGTAAGCAATGTCCGCCGCGCTCCAACTGCCGAACTTGCCTTCAACAGGTGTAATGTCAGGTATCCGGCCTTCACCTGTCGGTGCCGGTGCACCGCCGAGCCAATGCGAGAGAATCAGCCCGCCGGCAATATCACGTGCTGTGTGGCACTCCCCGCAGTGTCCGGGACCTTCCACCAGATATCGCCCCCTGTCCCACAGCGCCTGATCAACCTCGTTGCCGGAAACCGGTGCAGCTATCACAGGCTCCGGATTCAGAAAGAGGCGTTTCCAGAGACCAAGACCGCGGCGAATGTTGAACGGGAACCCGAGTTCATGCCCCGGGGCTTTGCCCTCGACCGAGGGCAGCGTCTTGAAAAACGCGTAAAGGTCGCCAAGGTCTTCGACCGACATCCGCGCATATGACGAATAGGGAAACGCCGGGTAATAGTTTGCCCCATCCGGCGATGTTCCGTGTGTCATGGCATTGGCGAAATCCGTCAAGGACCAGGCACCGATGCCATCGGCCTCACTGGAAGAGATGTTCGGTGCAACGAAGACACCGAATGGAGTTTCCAGCCGCAATCCGCCACCAAGATTGAGCAGATCTTCGCCCTTTGCATCCTTTGCCGCATGACACGAAGCGCAACCGCCAGCCCAGAATACGAGTTCCCCCTTCACCGGGTCACCTGTCTTCAGCGCGGCCGCCTGCTGTTCGGTCATCCGCGTAGGTGCGGAGAGGCTCCATCCGGCACCCGCTGCAATGACAGCGAGCACGACAAGGACTATCAATGCCTTTTTCATGGACCTCTCCGGAACCGCCTAAACCGGCATATCGGTAATGCGCCGGTCAGTTCTTCTTACGGTAAGTCTCGTGGCACGATTTGCAAGTACCGAGCACGGGGCCCATCGCCGCCTTGAACGCGTCAAGATCCGCCGGACCGTCCTTGCCGGATGCTTCCATCGCCTTGCCGGCAGCAGCCGAGAATTTTGCAAGTTCGGCAGCAAAGCCATCGGCGTTTTCCCAGATGGCCGGCAACGCGCCGGTATCACCCTGGTCCGATCCTTCAGGGAAAAAGTCGCCGAAAGACGCAGCAGCGGCATTCATTGCGGCAATTGCGGCTTTCCCCGCAACCGGCGAAAACGTGACTTCGCCTTTCATCATGCCGCCACCAAGGCCGGCTGCCGCGCCGACAGATGACATGATGGCTTGCCGCGTTGCGATTGGATCATCAGCAGCCTGAACAGACCCTGTAAATCCCAAACCGGCCAACATGAAAATGGCCGCAACATTCCGTACGATGCGCATGATCCTCTCCCTCTCGATCAAAACACCGCCGATACGGTGCGCAGGAGTTGGAGTACAGCCAAGAATTGCTCCGGAATAAAATCACGCTCCCGTGATGTCGCCTGTAAATTGTAACAATGTGTGCCCGAAGGCCCCTGGAAACGAAAAACCCCGGCCCTGACGGGACCGGGGTTTCAACTCATGATGAGAGGACCGGCTTACTTGGTCGCAGCTTCATAAAGCTCCAGGACATAGTCCCAGTTCACCATGTTATCGACGAACGCTTCCAGGTATTTCGGGCGGGCGTTCCTGTAGTCGATGTAATAGGAATGCTCCCACACATCACAGCCGAGAACCGGTACCGCACCATGAACAAGCGGGTTCTCGCCGTTCGGTGTCTTCATGATTGCCAGTTTGCCATCCTTGACAGCGAGCCATGCCCAGCCTGAACCGAACTGGCCCATTCCGGCGGCGATGAAATCGGCGCGGAACTTGTCGTATCCGCCAAGGTCGCTGTCGATTGCCGAAGCAATTGCACCCGGCAAGGATGTGCCGCCGCCATTCTTTTTCATCCATTTCCAGAAATGAATGTGATTGTAGTGCTGCCCGGCGTTGTTGAAGAGCGGAGCATTGCTGCCGAAGCTTGCTTTGACAATCTCCTCAAGAGACTTGCCTTCAAGTCCGCTGCCTGCGAGCAGTTCGTTGCCCTTTGTGACATAGGCCTGATGGTGCTTGTCGTGGTGAAACTCCAGGGTTTCGGAAGACATGTAAGGTGCCAGGGCATCATATGCATACGGCAGGTCAGGCAATTCGAAAGACATGACAAACTCCTCAGGTTTAGTCGGGGACCGGCGGACCGGACACGAGGTCCTTCGAGCCGCTTCGTGCCGCAAAATAGGATTCCCCAGCCAGATCGGCAAGTTCGGAATTCGAAAATAAAACAATTTTTTCCTTATTTTTTTGTCACGTCAAGGATTCATGCCTACAGGCACGGTCGTTTGGACCACAAACTAAACCAATTAGTTGACTGTTAAACGGCAAGCTGATAATTCATCCATACGGTTGAATGAAGGTGTGCGCGTTACTTCACAGGCGACTGGATCGTTCGACCGGCCAGATGGCACTGTCCTAAGCGGGAGGCGAGTATGGAATTTGACAATGTGAATTGGATCGCAGTTGTGGTCGGCACGATAGCGGCGTTTTTGTTCGGCTGGCTCGTATATTCACCCCTGCTGTTTGCCAGGGTGTGGGCCGAAGGCTCCGGTGTTGAACTCAAGTCGGACAGCAGACCGCCAATGGGCGCAATGGTGCTGCAGATACTGGGGCTTTTGCTGCTGGCTACCGTGGTCGGTGTCACTGCGACAATTGACGCCCTCATCACCGCAATCCTGGCCATTCTGGCTGCCGCGCTGCTGACCGTTTCAAACGGTGCGTTTTGCCGGAAGTCGACGCCTGCCTTGGCCATCGATGCCGGCTACATTGTCGGTGCTGGAATTCTGATGATCGTTGCACAGGGCATATTCTGAGTTCCGGATTGTTTGTTTTTCATTGGAACAACAATACCGGTCACATTGAATTCAAGGTTTGCGCGTTGTCACCGGTCTCGGCCAGGTGCCGTTTTACCGTCTTCGCGCTGCCTTCCCGAGATCTCGATCACAATGAATTGCGCTCAATTCGCTTTTGACAAGAATTGTTTGTGAGCTGCAAATCCGGACGGTGAGAGGCTCAAAGACAGAAACAAACCAAACCTGTCCAGGCCAAAAGTCTCGTTCCGTCGGAGGCGACACCTTTGATTGGATGAATGTTGCGGAAACTTGATCAGTTGGTCTTAGCGGTGTTTGTCTATCTGCTCCCGTATCTGTAGCATCCTTGCATGTCTGCGGCCCGGTCTGCAGGCCCCGTCCGTTTCACCTTTCCACCAATGATTTCCAGTGACCAAATGTCGACACCAGACCGTTCATTTGTACCCCTCGCTTTTGGTGGCTTGCTTTCGCTGGCTGCGGCAATGGGAATCGGGCGTTTTGTCTACACACCGATCCTTCCTTTCATGCAGGATGGACTGCAACTGCCAGCTGACGATGCCGGCCTGATCGCATCCGCCAATTTTCTCGGCTACCTCACAGGTGCTCTTGCGGGTGCGGCAAGATCAGTGCCAGGCAATCCAAGACACTGGTTTCTGGGCGGCCTTCTGGTCAGCGCGTTGACAAGCCTTGCAATGGCCTTGACCACCGCGCTTGCCGCTTTTCTGGTCCTCCGCTTCGTCAGCGGCATTGCAAGTGCCTTTGTTCTCGTGTTTTCAACGACACTCCTCCTGGAGCGATTGAACGCGGCAGGACGCGGGGACTTGTCCGCTCTTCACTTTGCCGGAGTTGGCTGCGGCATCGCGTTTTCCGCGATACTTGTTGCAGGTGTAGCCTCCTACTCCGCGGACTGGAGGCTGCTCTGGATTGCCAGCGGAATTGCAACGCTCCTTTTCTTTGCAGCAGCTGCACGTCTCGTCCCTGCCCCCACCGACAGAAGTTCATCCACCCAAATCGATACTCGCAAAGCGGAAACAAGGACAAACTTTCTGACAAGCAGTCTGTTGCGGCTCATCGCCGCCTACGGCTTGTTCGGTTTCGGTTATGTGATCACCGCGACATTCGTTTCCGCTATTGCACGCTCGGAACCGGCCCTTCAGTCGAGCGAACCGTTTGTCTGGCTCACTGTCGGCCTCTTCGCCGCGCCTTCGATCCTGTTCTGGAACAAGGTTTCGGCAAGAACCGGAGGCCGAAAGGCCTTTGCGCTGGCATGTGTCCTGGAATCATGTGGCGTCGCCCTGACCGTTGTCAGCGCTGAACCGTTTCTGTTTCTCCTGGGATCCGCACTGCTTGGCGGAACATTCATGGGAATAACGGCTCTCGGCCTCATTGAAGGTCGCAGACAGGCAAGCTCCGGTGGCCCGGCCGCCGAACGTCAGATGCTCGCAATATTGACGGCTGCATTCGGCCTTGGTCAGGTCGTCGGGCCATGGCTGGCCGGCAAACTTCATGCCGTGACAGGGTCATTCGAGGCCCCCTCGCTCGTCGCCGCGGCAGCGCTGCTGGTAGCCGCGGCCCTCGTTGTTCGCGAGTAGCGCGGACGTTCTCAGGCGTGGGAAAAGTCCCAGTAGAGTTCGCGGGCCTTCGCTGCTACTGGGCCAGGTTGCAGATCACGTTGCTCGATGCGTTTTACCGGAGTTACCTTGCTGTAGTTACCGGTCGAGAATATTTCGTCCGCGTCCAGAAACTCGTCATAATGCATTGTGCGCTCGAACACCTCGTAGCCGGATGAGCGCAGCAGCTGAATGATGCGCTGCCGCGTGATGCCGTCCAGAAACGTACCGTTGGGCGCAGGAGTGTGAACCTTGCCGTCCTTGGCCAGAAAGACATTGGCGGACGTCAGTTCGGCAACGTTCCCCATCATGTCGCGCACGACCGCATTGTCGAAACCGCGCCCCTTGGCCTCCAGCATCGCCCTTGCATTGTTCGGATAAAGGCAACCTGCCTTGGCATTCACCGGCATGCATTCCATTGTCGGGCGGCGGAAGGGCGACAAGGTAATGCTCATGGCTGCATCTTTCGGCGCCATCGGAGCATCGAAAAGGCAGAGGCAGAACCGGGTGCTTTCCGGGTCGCCGGTAATGACCCCGTGACCATCGGCCTCGACCCAGTACATGGGCTTGACATAAATATGCTGATCGGTGCCGAACCTGTCGCAACCCTCTCGCGTCAGCTCGATCATTTCCCCGACCTTCATGGTGGGCTTCATCCCCAGCGCGACCGCAGAATCGTTCACACGCTGACAATGAAGGTCGATATCCGGCCTGACTCCTTCAAAAAAACGTCCGCCGTCAAAAACACTCGAGCCAAGCCAGGACGCATGCGTACGTGGTCCCATGATCGGCGGATTGCCCTCGTGCCAGGTGCCATCGATCCAGGTCCACGTATCACTCAATCCGCTCATTGCTCTTCCCTTTGCGTATTTGGATCGGCATTTCAGCCGAAGACACAACACCGGCGACCAGCCCAGGTCAACAGCTTACCCTATGGAATGAGAAAGTTGCCGCCTTTCTTTCGGCATCTGACGGTGACAGGGATAATTCTGTTCGACTTGTTTCAGAATTTGAAAAAATCTTGTCACCAAAAAAATGCGTCATCGCGTTTGTTTGAAACGTTCCCGAGCGTCACACTTCAGCCGGCCTGGTCAATCCAGGGTGAAATGGAATTGACAGGAAATCAATTTTGTTCACTATATGTTCCTTTCATGAGTGAGGACAGAACGATGGAACAGCGCATTTCAATGACAACCCTTGCCGTACCCGACGTGGCTCAGGCTCGTCGTTTCTTCGAGGAAGGGCTTGGCTGGAAAGTCAATGCCGCACCGTCGCCCGATGTCGTCTTTTTCCAGGTAATTGGCGGCGTGTTCGCACTCTACAGCCGTGAAGCGCTGGAAAGGGAAATCGGGCGAGATGTCACGAAAGACACGACCGGAGCAATCACGCTCGCCTGGAATGCACGGTCCGAACAGGAAGTGGATGCCATCTTTCAAAAGGCCGTATCTGCGGGCGCAGACCCGGTCAAGCATCCGGAAAAGGCTTTCTGGGGCGGGTACTCGTCCTACGTTGGGGTGCCTGGCGGACACCTGCTTGAAATCGCTCACAATCCCTTCTGGAAAATCGAAGCGGACGGCGCCGTCACATTGCCTCCGGCACAATAGTCCGAAAGATACGACTTTTGTCGCACCCTTCGGCGCTTGACGTTTCGGTGGCTGCACGGTTTTCTTCCGCAGTCCCGAAACCCCGACGAAGGAATTCCCGTCATGGCGCATGCCGCGTTCGTGGTTGATGCTTACGGCACCCTGTTTGATGTCCATGCTGCGGTTCGCAAGCATGCGGCAAAGCTGGGTCCCGATGCGCAGCGATTTTCTTCAATCTGGCGTGAAAAACAGCTTGAATACTCTTGGGTTCGCGCCCTGATGGGTCAATACAAGGACTTCTGGGAACTGACCCAGCAGGGCCTGGATACGGCATTCGCCCTTGTCCCTTCCGCTGACAAATCCCTGCGCGACGATCTCCTGAACGCCTATTGGGAACTCGATTGCTATCCCGAAGTGCCACAGGTCCTGACGGACCTGAAGGCAACTGGCGCAAAGATCGCAATCCTCTCCAACGGTTCACCCGCAATGCTGGAAGCTGCCGCAAAGGCTGCCGGACTGACGGATTTGTTTGACGAGATCTTTTCAGTGGACGATCTCAGGACCTTCAAGACCGACCCGCAGGTCTATGAAATGGTCACCACTCAATTCCGAATTTATCCGGAAGAAGTTTCATTTCAGTCGTCGAACCGTTGGGACATTGCAGGAGCAACCGCGTTCGGCTTCCGTACCGTCTGGATGAACAGGATGGGTATGCCTGACGAATATGCGGACCTTGCACCGAAAGCCGTGCTTGCCGACCTGACGGGCCTTGCTGCTCTGGGTTGACGGTATTTTCTTTCAGTCTCGATAATCCTGACGATCCGGGTCTCTTGTTTGGTGTTCCCGACCTTGCCAACGCGCATCCAGGCTTCGAGGCATCGTGCCTGGGCAAGGCACTATTCTTTCTGAGCGGTCGGGTGAAGCCGAGGCAATGTCGTTCCATTCCTATCCGGAATAGCTAGAATGCCCTTGAAACGCCGATCATGAAGCGTTGGTTGCCCGACGCTCTTTCAACACTTGTACCACCGTAGTTCGCCTTGTCGTCGATGATACCCGTCAGCGTGTAATCGGCACGCAGACGCCAGTTGTCCCTGAAGGCAACCTCCAACCCGCCCCCGATGACCGGTCCGATCGAGACGGAAGTCCGTTCCTTGCCGTTCGCCTTGAGGCTGTGTTCGGTGGCAGCCAGACCGGCACTCAGATATGGCATGAAGTTGCCGAGCGGAATACCCGCCCTGGCCTTGGCGCTTGCAGTCCATTTCGCACCGGTTTCAACGGTTCCCAGTGTTGGATGGGTTCCCTTTTCCCGCCCGCCGAGATAGGTGGCACCGCCTTCGACACCCAGTACGATGCGGGAGACTTGCCAGTTGTAGCCGCCGAACAGGCCAAATGCTGCATCGACCCGCGAAAGATCCTTGGATTTTCCGCCGGCCGTGACGTCGGTAACCGTTTGGGAAGCCCCGGTCTCGACACCCAGATAGGGGCCTGTCCAGATCGCGCTTGGCGCTGCTGGCGGTTCGAAACCAGGTTCCTGGTAGTCCCCCAGGTCGGCAGCCTGCGCCCCGGAAACCAACACGGCCAAAACAGCGCAGAGTATTGCCGGTTCAAGGAGCCAATGGCACCGCAACCTCCTCAAGACCTTGGCGCGCCCGGATCGGGGAGAAGAGAAAATATCATAATTAGCAAAAGAACTTACCATTGTTGATCTCACTTGAGTTTTTGAACTTTCGCTCGAGTTACAACATTCATTTATTATTGTAAAACGATAATTTTAAAAATGTCTGCATTAATTTTTTTGTCAATAGCAATATCAAAATATTTGCATTTCAGTGACTGGCGCTATAGACACGTCGTGCTGGAATACCAATCGGAGCGATCAATGAGCGACCTTGAATGGGCAGAGCGTGAAAAGCGACTGACGAGAATCCGAAGATTGTCGGCATTCATGAAATGGACCGTAACGGTGATCCTTGCCTTCATGGTGCTGTTCGGCGGGCTCGTTCTCGTCGAAATCATCGTGCCGTTTGATCTTCTGATTTCCCCGGAAGAGACGATCGACGTTGCGGATATTGAGCGGCCGATTGATGAAATTCCGCATATTCAGCGGATCGGTGTCGCAGTGCTGTTCTGCATCGCGCTCTCGCTGCTTGCATTGTCAATCTGGAACATCAGGCAGGTCTTCAAGCGTTTCCAGATGATGGAATTCTTTTCGCCGAAAACGCTGGCCAATGTCATATCGATTGGCGTCTGGCTGATCGTGTTCGCAGCTTTCGATCTGATCAGCGATCCGATTGGTTCGGTAATTGTGACCTATGATTTGCCGCCTGGCGAACGTTCGGTGGAAGTCACTCTGGATGGCGCAGAAATCTTCTGTTTCATTTTTGGAGCGCTCATGCTCCTGTTTGGCTGGATACTGCGTGAAGCGGCGCTTATTGCGGATGAAAACCGCCAATTTGTCTGATGCGATGCAGGAGAACCATCAGATGATCCACCATGTGACATCAACCAGATCCAGGCGCCTTCGGCGCATTCAGCTTGGTGCCCGGCTCATGAAATGGGCCGTCTCAGCCTGTGTTCCTGTATTGATTATCCTCACGGCACTGCTTGTGCTTTCCGTGCTGTTTCCCCAGGTGGCCGCGCTCACCGGCGAACAAACAATAACGATCGGAGACTCGGAACGCGCCTTTGCTGACCTTTCTCTCGTCCAGCGCAGTGCCCTGACGATTTTGGCCCTGTGCATGTTCACCTTGTCGTTCGGTGCGCTTTGGACCCTGCGTAGTCTTTGTTTGCAGTTTCAGGCCTTGGAGTTCTTCTCCGCAAGGTCGCTCAAAACTGTGGTTTCGCTTGGAACATGGCTGATATGTTGCGCACTATTCGAATTTGCCAGTGATCCGCTCGCTTCGCTTATTGTCACCCTGGACTATCCGGCAGGCGAAAGGATTATTGACGTAACTGTTGATGGCGGTGAAATATTTAGCATGAGTCTCGGGGCTCTCCTGCTCCTGTTCGGATGGATCATGAGCGAAGCCGCTCTGCTTGCAGAAGAAAACAGACAAATAATATAGCAACGGTGCACCGGGAACCCATCATGCCCATCATTATCGAATTGGATGTCATGCTCGCCCGCCGGAAAATGCGGTCCAAGGAACTCGCGGAACGCATCGGTATCACAGAGCAGAATGTCTCCCTTTTGAAATCCGGCAAGGTCAAGGGTGTCCGGTTCGACACGCTCGAAAAGATTTGCGAAGTGCTGGACTGCCAGCCGGGCGATATCCTGATCTATGAGAAACCGGAAACCTGAAGACAGCCCAAGGACGCATCACTGTTTCAAAATGCGAATTTCATCAGGCCGAATTACTCTGCCGCCTCCGCCGGCCCATATCCCAACTGCGCATTCAGCTTGCCGATCAGACCGACGGCTGCCTCGGCGATGACCGGTCCCGGCGGAAAGATCGCCGAAGCACCTGACCGGAAGAGCTCGTCGTAGTCCTGCGGTGGAACGACACCGCCGACGACAATCATGATGTCCTCCCGTCCCTCGTCAGCAAGTGCTTTCTTCAGCGCCGGAACAAGGGTCAGGTGCCCGGCGGCCAATGAGGAAACGCCGACCACGTGAACATCGTTTTCGACCGCCTGACGGGCAGCCTCTTCCGGTGTCTGGAACAGTGGGCCGATATCGACGTCGAAGCCGAGATCGGCAAAAGCCGACGCGATCACCTTCTGGCCCCGGTCATGACCGTCCTGCCCCATCTTGGCAACAAGAATTCGCGGTCGGCGGCCGTCGTTGTCTTCAAACGTCTCGACCAGCTTCTGAACCTTCTCCATTGTGCCGGACATGGCTCCCGCCTCTCGTTTGTAAACCCCGGCAATCGACTTGATTTCTGCCTTGTGCCGGTCGAATACCTTTTCCATGGCAAGCGAGATCTCGCCGACAGTCGCCATGGCGCGCGCCGCCTTGACCGACAGGTCCAGGAGATTCCCGTCTCCAGTCTGGGCGCAATTTGTCAGGGCGTCCAGCGCGGCCTGTGTTTCGCTCTCGTTTCGCTCTTGCCTCAAACGGTTCAGCTTGTCGATCTGCGCGGCACGTACCTGGGCGTTGTCGACCTTCAGGACGTCGATCGCCTCTTCGCTCTCCGGTTTGTATTTGTTGACACCGACAACGGTCTGGTTGCCGCTGTCGATCCGCGCCTGGGTCTTGGCAGCCGCCTCCTCGATCCTGAGTTTGGGAATGCCTTTCTCTATGGCCTTGGCCATACCGCCGAGTTCCTCGACTTCGCGGATATGGGACATGGCCTTTTCAGCCAGGTCCGACGTCAGTTTTTCGACGTAGTATGACCCGCCCCACGGATCGATGACTTGGGTGGTGCCGCTTTCCTGTTGCAGGAACAGCTGGGTATTGCGGGCAATCCGGGCGGAAAAATCGGTCGGCAGGGCCAGCGCCTCATCGAGTGCGTTGGTATGCAGGGATTGCGTGTGCCCCTGGGTCGCTGCCATCGCCTCGATGCAGGTCCTGATGACATTGTTGAAAACGTCCTGCGCGGTCAACGACCAGCCGGAGGTCTGGGAATGGGTTCGAAGGGACAGGGACTTGGGATTCTTCGGCTGGAAGTTCTCCTGCATGAGCGTAGCCCAGATCAGCCGTGCCGCACGCAGCTTGGCCACTTCCATGAAGAAATTCATGCCGATCGCCCAGAAGAACGACAGGCGCGGTGCGAACTGGTCGATATCCATACCGGCCGCGACCCCGGCACGGGCATACTCGATGCCGTCGGCGATGGTGTAGGCGAGTTCCAGGTCGGCAGTCGCGCCAGCTTCCTGCATGTGATAGCCGGAAATCGAGATGGAATTGAACCGCGGCATGTTCTGCGACGTGAACTTGAAGATATCGGAAATGATCCGCATCGAGTGCTGCGGCGGGTAGATATAGGTGTTGCGGACCATGAACTCCTTCAGAATGTCGTTCTGGATGGTTCCGGACAGGTCCTTTTGCGCGACACCCTGTTCTTCCGCAGCCACGATATAGAGCGCCAGAACAGGCAGAACCGCGCCGTTCATGGTCATCGACACGCTCATCTTGTCCAGCGGAATACCGGAAAAGAGCGTGCGCATGTCGTAGATTGAATCGATTGCCACTCCGGCCATGCCGACATCGCCGGCAACACGCGGGTGATCACTGTCGTAACCACGGTGCGTGGCCAGGTCGAAGGCAACAGAAAGGCCCTTTTGTCCCGCGGCGAGATTGCGCCGGTAGAAGGCGTTGGAATCCTCGGCCGTCGAGAACCCCGCATACTGACGGACGGTCCATGGCTGCTGGACATACATGGTCGGATAGGGTCCGCGCAGGAACGGCGGCAATCCGGGCCAGGTATCGAGATGGGTGAGCCCGTCCAGATCCCCGGCGCGGTAGACCGGAGGTACCTGGATATCTTCGGGTGTCAGCCAACTGTCTTTCGACTGTGCGTCAGCTTCCCCCAGGACATTCTGGAACGGCTTTTCCGAGTAGTTCGGGATCCTGCTCATGATCAAACCTCCAGATCTGAGTTTTCGACGCCAGCAGCCCCGGCCAGCCGGGCGTGTGCGTCCTTCAGCAGCTCAAGAAGGTCGCAACCTGCAAATAGAAATGCATCAACTCCGGCATTCTTCAGTTCAGATTCGCGTTCCCCTGGACGACCGGCCAGATAAACATGATTTGCACCGGCGCCCTTAAGGGCCATCGCTGCCGGCCCCGCTTCGGATTCGTAAATACCGTCAGATGAGACAAGGCAGGCCAGGGAAGCGCCACTGTCCTTGAATGCGGCGATCATGTCATCTTGAGACGCGTATTCTGCCGGTGCGACCGTTGATATTCCACCGGCAGCAAAAGCATTTGCCGTCCATGTCGCCCTGGCGGTGAATTGCGCAAGCGTACCGAGGCTTGCCAGGAAAACGACAGGTGCTGTGGAGGTCTTGTCTTCAAATCGGTCTGCTACCAGCCGGAGTTGCTCGAACGGCTCGGCCAGACGCGCTTCGCCGGGCTCTGACGTTTCAAGGTCGGACTGATCCAGCAAACCGGGCAAGGACAGGCCCGCCAGCGCTGCCGCTTTCAGGGCAAGCGTTCGCGCACCGGTGCCGGCCTCCGGCAGTTCGGACAAGGACGCAACATTCTTTTCGCAGTGGTGGACAGAAACATCTTCAAGAACAGGCACGGGAGTTTCGGAAAGGTTGGGAAATTCGCTCACACCGGTGATGGGACGTTTTCTGCGCGCAACGTTTCTGCTCAATACGGATTTTGATGAAGCTATTCGCTTCTGCACAAGTCCTTGATGCAACGCATCGGCAAGTCCACCGCTTGCTTCGATTTCCTGAAAGAACCCCCATGCTGCCGCACACAGTTTTTCCGTCCTGTCCTCGATCGCGCCTGACCCTGCTGCCGGGTCGATGACTTTCGCAAGATTGCTTTCTTCCAGAAGAATTGCCTGTGTGTTCCGGGCAAGCCGCCGTGCGAGACCGTCCGGCAGACCAACAGCCAGCGTGTGCGGCAACACGCAAACACTGTCAGCGCCACCTATTCCGGCGGCAAAGGTGGCTACGGTGTTTCTGAGAAGATTCACCCAGGGATCGCGTGCCGTGAGCATTCTATAGGAACTCGACATGTGCAGCTGCACAGCCGTTTGCGGTAGCCCTGCCCCGTCCAGAACACACGACCAGAGCGCCCGGATGGCGCGTGCCTTCGCGATTGTCCCGAACTGATCCGCATCTGCGACCAGCGTCAGGGACATTTGATCCGACCAACGCTCCGGCGGGACCGTTGTCTGCTCCAGCAACCTCAGCTGCGCAGTTGCCGAAGCCAGAACGAGGCCGAGCTCCTGCGCCGGAGTTGCTCCTGCATTGTGCCAGGCCTGACCGTCTGAATTCAGCGACCGAAGGCGGCTCTCGAGTTTGGAAGCCGCGTTGGCGAGGTCAGCCGTCTGCAGCAACGCGGCATCGGCGTCAAAGGAAACCGACAGATCACGAGCACCCGATGTGAACGGGTCGAATGCCGACGAAATCTCCACGGATGCCGGATCGGTGCCGGTTTTTTCGATGTAAGCGGACAAAAGGGCAATTGCGTCACAACTCCCCTGCCCGGCGTTGACCCTGGTTCGGATCAGGTCAAGCTGCACACCTCCCAGCAACTTGTCCAGATCCTTCAAATCTGATGCCCGGATGCCACCACCGGCATTTGCACGAGCCAAAACCAGCTCGATGCCGTCCGCCCCTCCTTCAAGGTCTTCCAGGATCTGTTTGTTGGCCTTGCCGGGATCCGGAAGATCCACGCGTTGAGTGACCGTCCAGTTTCCTGCACCGGACCGCAGATCGCGCACAGGCGTATCACTGCGGCGCGCGTAAAGTGGCGCAATTTCGAGATCATCGTCGGTTGAAGCAAAAAGCTTCTGTCTCGGCATGCCCTTCAAGGCCTTGTCCACGGACGCCCACCACGTCTCTTCGTCGACAGAGTAGAAGCTATCCGGTCCGGTAAAACTCAGCGTCATTGCAATAGTCTCCCTTGAGCCAAGTTTTAGTCCTCGCCCGGGAAGCTTGGCAACTCAGCATAAAGGGTTAGGTCTGAAAATCGGATGTTTGACTTGCGGCAAACCCTCACATCGCCGCGCATGCGATCGCGGTGAACCGTGATGATTCGTTGCCATCGAACCAAAAGCGCAAATTGTGCGCATTGCCAATTTCAGCTCCAAACAAAAAAACAATACGCAAAACAGGTCTGCAGCGGCAAAAATGTAGGCATATTGTCAATTTATTGGCGCAATTCGCAAACTTTGCCAGTTTTCCCTATTGGTACGATCATCAATTGTATTGTAGCGTTATCAGGCCGACGCATGGGGAAATATACCCCCCCAACAAAAATGTGCGGCACCGGGCTTTGATCTTTATCCAAAACGGGCAGGACAAAGTCAGAACTTAACCCATCAGCGGCGTGAGTGGATGATTCCATTGCGATCGCAAGCGCGCGGCAAATTTAGTCGCCAAGGATGTGCACAATGCTTGATCAAACGGAATTGAAGAGCAAGCTGAGAGCTATCTCAGAGGCAAATGCGGCCCACCATGTTCTCGATATACTGGAATCCAATCTACGCCGCATGGGGGCGACACATATTCTGATCACCGGCCTTCCGATGCCGAACCGGCCGATTGACAACCTTGTCCAGCGGTTTCGTTGGCCCGATCAACGCAATGACGGCATCGAAAGCACGTCATTATCGGCAAATGACAGCGCCCTGATGCTTGGCCTCGGATCGAACCGGGCCCGGGTCTGGACGATCAGTGCCGGCGACATGGAACATTCCGACCTCCTCGCCTCGGCAGGTGAAGGCAGTCAGATCGTCGTGGTTCCGGTAACAGAACTTTATCCGTTCCAGGCGTTCGTTTTCGCAAGCGGTCCGTCACTGCAGGTGAACAAGTACGATCTGGCAAATCTGGAAGTTCTGTCGGCTGCCGCGTTCTCCCGGCTTCGTGAACTCGGTGTCATTTCAGGCCAGCGGCCCGGCGCGCTTTCAAACCGCGAACGCAGGGTTCTCGAATTGACCGCCTACGGCAAGACAGCAGGCGAAATCGCCGACGTGCTGGATATTTCGCAAAGAACCGTCCACGCCCATCTTCAAAATGCCAGCGTGAAACTGAACGCGTCGAACAAGACCCATACGGTTGTCGAAGCGCTGCGATACGGACAGATCAGCGTCTGATTGCTTCGCTTGCTCGATGTGAACAACATAACGTTGGCAGGCGGCACACTGCGATGAATTACAAAAAGGCGCGTCATTGACGCGCCTTTCACTATTCAGGTCTTTGCCGTTTCTAATCAGTAGGTCATCATCGCCGGCAGTTCTTTTGCCTGCTCGACCCATTTCGTCACCTGGCTTTCACTCGGAACCTGACGAACAAGTTTCTTTTCCTCGTTCACTTCGCTCATCTTGGTGGCCAGGTTGGCCGCATTGCGGTGTTTCAATTCCTTCACGGTATCGACACCAGCCGCTTCGAGCAGCTCGGAATATTCCTCACCGACACCGCTGATCCGCATCAGATCGGCCATGTTGGCCCACTTCAGGATTCGCTTGCCGTCGATTCCGGTATCCTTTTCCAGCGCCTTGCGTCCGCTCGGGTCCTTTGCGCGTTCAAGATATGCTTCCGTCGTCTTGATGCCCAATTCACTCAGTTTCGCTGCGTAAGTCGGGCCGATGCCCTCGATTTCATCGATCGAATAAGACATGCGCACTGAACTCCCTATAAGACCGGCGGTCGAACCCTGGGGCAGTTAGACGACTTGGCTCAACCCCGGAATTTGTGAAATAACTTCATCCACAACGTCGTCCCCTGCTTTTTCCTTAGCATAGGAAACCAGTTCTTTCACAACACTTTGAATTCCGCCCATGTCGAGGCCTGCACCGTTCAACTCGCTGAGCGCTGCCATGGCGCCCATCTTGCCACCCATCATGTTGCCCAGACCACCCATCAGACCACCGCCCGATCCTGCGTCCTGGCGGCCCGCCACAAGTTCCGCAGCGCCCGGCAAGGCGTCAAATATGAGCTTCATCTTGTCTTCGGGGCCCTCTTTATTGAGGAAATTCAGAATGATGCCGACTGCGTTTGTCGCCAGGTCTTTGTCAATTCCGGCTGCCGACATTACACGGCTGACGAGCTCTTCCATACTGTTCTCCAGCTTGCGATGAATTCTTGTGGTCCGGGTTCGGACACGCTGCCCGGCGTTTCTATATATGCAATTGCCGATCGACGTCGACCGGACACTGCATCACGGGCGCGCTTTTTTCAGGGCCTTTGCTAGATTTGTGGAAAGTGTGAAGGATTCGGGGGATACCGTGACGGCAAAGAACAGCATTTACATTGGCGCCAGCGCCAAGGACGAAACACTGGCGCTGAAACTTGCCAACCGGCACGGCTTGATCGCGGGCGCCACCGGCACCGGTAAAACCGTTTCGCTTCAGATACTCGCCGAAGGATTCTCAAAAGCTGGCGTGCCGGTGTTCTGCGCCGACATCAAGGGAGATCTGTCAGGGCTCGCCGCAAAAGGGGTATCCAAGGACTTTCTTGAAAAACGAGCCAAGGACATCGGCATCTCGGAGTCCTACACTTATGAGGCGTTTCCCGCCGTGTTCTGGGATTTGCTCGGCGAACAGGGACACCCGATCCGGACCACTGTCTCTGAAATCGGACCGTTGCTTCTGTCGCGTCTTCTGGAGCTGAACGATACCCAGGAAGGCGTTCTGAACGTCCTCTTCGAACTGGCCGACGACGAAGGGCTGTTGCTGCTTGATCTGAAGGACCTGCGCGCCATGCTGGCTCATGTAGCCGAACGTGCGTCCGAATTGTCTACCCTCTATGGAAATGTCTCCAAGGCATCGATTGGAGCAATCCAGCGCCGGTTGCTCGTTCTGGAGCGGCAGGGAGGCGAGAATTTCTTCGGCGAACCGGCGCTTGATATCCGGGACTTCATCCGGGTCGGGCCGGATGGCCGCGGTGTCGTCAACGTTCTCGCTGCAAACAAGCTGATGACATCGCCCAGGCTCTACGCTGTCTTTCTCTTGTGGCTTCTGTCGGAACTCTTCGAGGAACTGCCCGAAATCGGTGACCCGGAAAAACCCAAACTGGTCTTCTTCTTTGACGAAGCCCATCTGCTGTTCAGTGGTGCGCCAAAAGCTCTTGTCGAAAAAGTTGAGCAGGTCGTGCGCCTGATCCGTTCCAAGGGCGTCGGTGTTTACTTCGTGACCCAGAACCCGCTCGACATTCCCGAGACTGTTTTGGCGCAGCTCGGCAACCGGATCCAGCACGCACTGCGCGCGTTTACGCCGCGCGATCAGAAAGCGGTGAGAGCGGCGGCGGAAACATTCAGGCCGAACCCCGATCTCAACACCGAACGCGTCATAACCGAACTGGGCGTCGGTGAAGCCCTGGTCTCGACACTTGAAGGAAAGGGAATTCCTTCGATCGTTCAACGGACACTGATCCGTCCCCCCTCTTCCCGGCTTGGGCCGATCACCCAGGCGGAGCGGCGCAGCCTTATCCAATCAAGCGCGGTGTTCGGCGTCTACGAGCGGGCCAAGGACAGAAAATCAGCCTCTGAAATCCTGATGAGCCGCGCTGAGGAAGAGCAGCGCCAGGAGCAGCGCAGCCGCGACAAGGAAGAAAAGCACGCCCGCAAACATGGCGAGCCCCGACGCTCCCGGTCCGGCTTTGAATTGCCGGATTTCGGCCGCGACGACCGTCCGAAGAAAGACAGCATCGACAGACGCTCGCGACGCAGAAGCCAGCGGGATACGGTTCTGGAAGCTGGACTGAAGTCGGCTGCCAGAAGCCTCGGAAGCTCCTTGGGCCGTGCGCTTGTTCGTGGTCTGATGGGATCCCTGAAACGCGGAAACTGAGACGCATGGCCGACAACCGGGACACCGAACGCAACGCCCTGACCGTCGGCAAGTGGGCAAATCTGTTCATGGCATTTGCCGGCGTCCTGACAGCCTGGCTCTCAAGATCCGACGCCATGATGGTGGATGGGCTTTATTCAGCGGTCAATTTCGTTTCCGCCATTGCTGCCGCGCGCATCGGAGCCCGGGTCGGATTGCCGCCAACCCGCAGCCGCCCATGGGGCCACGATTTCGACGAAGTACTCTACGTCACCTTCAGAAGCCTCATTCTTGTTGGTATTCTGGTGTTTGCAGCGGTTGTATCAGGCCTCAAGATCTGGACTTTCTTCACCGGCGGAGAGGTACCAGAACTGGTGTTCGGACCGATCGTTTTCTACTCGGTCGGAATTGTGATTATCTGCCTCGCGCTGGCATTCAATTACCACCGCGCCTACAAAGCGACAGGCAAGCGCAGCGCTCTTTTGAAAACCGAATCCAAAGCCGCGATGATAGACGGTGCGCTCAGTGTTGGCGCGGGCGCTGCACTTCTGTCACTGCCCTTTCTGGAAGACACGCCACTCGGTCCATATGTACCGATCGGAGACGCGGTCATCGTGCTTGTTTTGATACTGGCGATTATCTGGCAACCAATGGCAACGTTCCGCAAGACGCTCGCGGACCTGGCCGGGGTCAGCGCGCCGGGTGACACATACGCCAAGGTCTTGCGCGCGGCACGCGATCTCGCGCGCGAAAAGGGCTTCCGGCTTCAACGGGCAGCCGTACTGCAGGCCGGGCGCATGCACTATGCTGCCGTTTATATCGACCCTGAAAAGCCTGTTCTCGCAATGGAGATTGACGAATTTCAATCCGAACTTTCCGAGCGGCTTGAAAACTTGATTGGACCGACCCGTGCCGAAGTCATCGTGACGGCCCGCGGTCAACTCCCCGCCTCTCAAACGCTTCTTCCAAAAAAGGGTTGAAACCGATTGCGCGTCGCGCACGCTTGTGGCCTGTTAGGGCATTCTGACAGGCCAATTATGTTCCGGCCTCACCTATCTGTTCCAAATTCAAGGATCCGTCATGAGTTCCATCGACAAGGTCTTGGCGCGCATTGAGTCCAACTTCGAATCCAGCCTCGACCGCCTGTTCGATCTTCTCAAGATCAAGAGCATTTCCACCGACCCCGAATTCGCCGCCCCGTGCCGTGAAGCAGCCGATTGGCTCGCCCTCGAGCTGAATTCGATCGGATTTGAAGCGTCCGTGAGGGATACCGCCGGTCATCCAATGGTTGTGGGTCACCGCAAGTCGGGAAAACCCGGACCTCACGTATTGTTTTACGGCCATTACGATGTTCAGCCCGTCGATCCGCTGGAACTCTGGGAGCAGGACCCGTTCGAGCCGAAAATCAAGACCCGTGAAGATGGCAGCAAGGTCATCGTTGCCCGGGGCTCTTCGGACGACAAGGGGCAGTTGATGACATTTGTCGAAGCCGCGCGTGCCTATATCGAAGAGACCGGAGATCTGCCGATTGACGTAACGATCCTGTTCGAGGGTGAGGAAGAATCCGGTTCTCCTTCCCTGGAACCGTTTCTCAAATCACACAAGGAGGAACTCTCCTGCGATCTCGCACTTGTTTGCGATACCGGCATGTGGGACGCAGAAACGCCTGCCATTGCCGTGATGCTGCGCGGTATGGTGGGAGATGAGATCATTGTAAAGGCGGCAAGCCGTGATCTTCATTCGGGCATGTATGGCGGTTCCGCTCAAAACCCGAATCACATCGTCGCGGCAATTATCGCAGGTCTTCACGACGACAATGGAAAAGTCACGCTGCCGGGTTTTTATGATGGTGTGATTGAGCTGCCGGAAGATGTCAGCAACATGTGGGATGGACTCGGATTTTCCGTCGAGGAGTTTCTCGGAGAAGTCGGCCTGAAATACCCGCGCGGCGAAAACGATCGCAAACCGCTGGAACACCTCTGGTCCCGCCCGACTGTCGAGGTCAACGGAATGTGGGGTGGCTACCAGGGCGCAGGATCAAAAACCGTCATTCCCGCACAAGCCCATGCCAAGTTCACATTCCGCCTCGTTGGCGATCAGGATCCGGACAAGATCCAGGCATCTTTCCGCGACTATGTCCGCTCCAAGGTGCCCGCGGATTGTTCGGTCGATTTCATTGCCAAGGAAGGCAGCCCTGCCCTCAGGCTCGACTTCAAGATGCCTGCTCTGGAGAAAGGCGAAATCGCCTTGAAGAAAGAGTGGGGCAAGGACGCTGCACTTACCGGAATGGGCGGCTCCATTCCAATCGTTGGTGATTTCAAGCGCATGCTTGGCATGGACACGCTGATGATCGGATACGGGCTGGAAGACGACCAGATCCATTCGCCGAACGAAAAATACAACCTGACCAGCTTCCACAAGGGCATTCGCTCCTGGGCGCGGGTCCTGGATGAATTGTCGAAGAGCTAGAGACCGGTCACTCCCGCGCTCCCAATGGTTTTTTACAGGAAATACACATGAAATCCATCTGCGTCTTTTGTGGTTCCAGTTTCGGCGCGCGCGATATTTATGCCGACGCGGCCAGGGACACCGGTCGCGTTATCGCCGAAAACGGCTATCGGCTCGTCTATGGTGGTGCCAAGGTCGGATTGATGGGTACTGTTGCCGACGCCGCGCTTGCGGCAGGTGGTGAAGTCGTCGGTGTACTGCCCAAGGCCTTGCAGAACAAGGAAATCGGTCACGAAGGCCTCGACGAGCTCCACCTCGTCGGCTCAATGCATGAGCGCAAGGCCTTGATGGCCGATCTTTCCGACAGTTTCATCGCCTTGCCCGGCGGCGCGGGAACTCTTGAGGAGATTTTCGAGGTCTGGACCTGGGGACAGCTCGGCTATCATCAAAAACCTTGCGGCTTCCTGAATATCGAAGGCTATTACGATCACCTGATCGCATTTCTCGACCACCAGACTGGCGAGCAATTCACGAAAAAGGTGATGCGCGACATGGTCCAGATCGCCGATACGCCGGAAGCGTTGATCGACCTGTTCAAGGGCTACGAACCTCCAAGCACACCAAAGTGGATCAAGAAGGACGAAACCTGAGCCATTGTTGACTATCCTCAAGGTTCGGTGCCGACTTTCCACAGCACCGGGCTTTGCAATTGCAAAAAAATCCTGAGTCGTTAAACCCTTGTAAGCACCGTGCGCAAAGCACGGCCTTCAATAATTTATGTGTGTCTTGCCTATGTGTCTTCGTTTTTTGAATGCCATACCGGTTATGGCCGCCATTGCCGTATCAGCCTGTTCACCTTCAGCTGACTTCGATGGGACTACGGGTCGACTGGTCCAGACTTCTAACGTCACCCTCGTTCAGATTACCGAGGACAATGTCGGTGGCATCACGCCCCAGACCCGTTACGGTTCGAAGGCGATCGAATCCGCACTGCCCGGCTTTACCACCGAAGGTATTCAGACGGCAGTTGAAAACAAGACCGAATGGGCGCTCGCGGCCTTCAACACGGACGGCTTCCAGGTCCTGCAGGTGTTCAAGGGGCAAAACGGCAAGATCAGATCCGTCCACGGCGTGACCCATCACCTTCAGGGTCCCAACGGAGAACGCATCGGCATGACGTTTTCAGATATCGGTACAAACCGCTCCAAATGCCGGGCCGGCAAGAACCTTTGGCGCGGCATGGCAATCTGCGACTCGACCGGCCATCCGAATGTCGAACTCGTTTATGCCATTCCCGGCTACCAGGGGCCTTTCGACCGCCTGCCCCCATCCAAGGAGCTGCGCAATGCTGAGCTTCAACGTATTCTCTGGACGCCGAAGAGTTAAATTCAGGACGGGAACAGATTGCTGAATTCGAGAAGCGAACCATTCGCCATCTGTCAAATTCAGCCAAGGAAAACTGAAGCAATCAATTTGTTTGAGACCTGTTTTTCAAGCCAAACAGGTAGTCGTGATCAGTGAATTTCTCTATGTATTCATAATCATGGATTTGCAGGAAGCTTTTGATTTCCTCAAAATCGAAGGTTTCAATCAGAATATACTCAAAAGAATACCTGTCAAAATCTATACCTTTGAGTACAGACAGTTCGCCTCCTTCCACATCCAATGAAAACAGGTTGATCAAACCGGGAGCACCCACCTCGTCCAGGATGCTTGTCAGCGTGCGGGCCGGCGCGCCGAAAACGATGGTTTCCTCTCCCTTTCTGAGGAACCGCGAACCCACGGCAATGTGGTCCTGTTTGTTCAATTGACTTGTTTCGGGAATAGTCATGAGGTTGCCGTAGCTCAGTTCCACAAATTTGCCCGAGAAATTTTCATCCACGACTGCCGCAAAACAGAAATCATTTGTTTCCGACCTGTTTTTTCTGCATTCAAAATACTTGTGCGGTATCGCTTCGATCAACAATCCGCGCCATCCATACTTTTCTTCAAGCAACATGGTGTTGGATTGAGAAACGCCGTCATTGGCACCCAATTCAATAAAGTAGCCACCATCGTGGGAAATGTACTTGAGTACTTTCCTGTCCAGCTTGCTTGGTGAGTAGGACAATTCTTCCGGAGTTCCGAAAAGCGACTTGAGATGCGCGCGGAAGCGTTCCTTGACATATCGCCCGAAACCAAACATCGCTCACCCCTTGTTTTTACGTTCCATCGCAATCTAGCTCCGGATTATTCGGTTCGCTGAAAGTGGTCCCACAGTCGAACGGCGCCCTTGCATGCCACCATCTACCGGCTTCCGGTCGCCTCGTAAACCTTGCTTCGGAACGTCCTCAACAATTGAGACACCACACTGTTTCGCGCAAACGCGAGATGGTCTCATTCGGCCTGGAACTCCATTTCAAAACATCGAGGAAATTGTTCAAATCGGAAGAGACCGGTCCGCGCGGAGTAAATCTGCCGATGTTGGCACTTTCAGTGCTCAGCCGCCCTTGACCCACAAGGCACCGTGACCTTTGCCGAATCCTGGTTTAAGCCTTTGACATGACTGCACAGCCAAGAACACTTGATCCTCA